ATTGAAGTCTTCCTGTACTGTCCCTGTAATATTCCTTCACCAACCCGGTATCGGCAGGTCTGTGGTTATCAGGTTATTGCGCATTTATCTAAGTAAGCTTGCGTGTAATCAGTCCAAACACCAACTACCACTAGCTAGAAAGAATTCTTTCTGCCATGATTTTTGTAGTTAACCAAACCCTTTTGTACACGGATCTTTATTCCGAATGCAACAAAAATATGATTTTAGTTGCGCTTCATCTAAATAAATGAGTGGAAATGCGTATGCATATTTAGCGTATGAAATATGCGTAGTTTGATTTGTTATGATCAGTAATGAACGACACATAAACATTATACATAGTTTAATCAATTTGTTTACAGAACGATAAAATGTTGTATTTTTCATCAGAACACATTATCAGTAACAAATACTTAATTAAAAAATAAATCATTGAGTTCTGGTTTATTATAAAAGTATTGTGATATCCGAATCTGAACGATGTCTCAGGGGAAAGGTTTCGGCAAATGCTCATAACAAATTATTTTTGAAAGACAATTGATCTGTACTTATTTTCTATTTGTGCCAGACAAACACATTGATATCATTAGAGACTTGCGAGTGAACAAATAGATATTTAATACCATATGATTCCAATGTTATATGAACATTATGTCTGTCATTTCAATTCGTTAAAATGATAGATCATCTAAGATGGTAAGTAAAAACGTGTAAAATCCATATTTTGTATTTTCAGTAAATGTTTCATTCATGGTATTTCCAAACATCCTGATATCTAAAAAAACTGGTTAGAAGGTGAATAAAAGTGGAGATATGAATATTGTGTTCGTATTTTGAATCAATCTAGATTTATTGTAAAAAAGTTGTATATGTACATTTTGCTGAAATATTAAAATCCAAAGTTGCTGTCAGTCCATTGTAGGCATGGTAAATGAAGAATAAAAAGTGTTTAGTCTCTATTTATTCTTGAAAATAGTATATCTATTTTTTCTTGAAAATAATAGTTTCGTATAATTCTCAGGTGGTAGTTCTGCTTTACAAACTGTAATTATCAAAATCACTCTTGCAGTAAAAAATGTATTCACAATAACAACAACAATATGACCACGTAAACATTGTATTAATATAGAAAACCGCATTGTATAAAGGTTTAACTACCGCATTTTTCAAAATCTACCGAAAAATACCGCATTTTGGCAAATCTTCCGCAAAAGTACCAGTTTTTCAAAAAATTACCGTAAAACTACCGCAATTTTCAAAATCTACCGTAAAACTACCTCATTTTTTCAAAATTTTCAGCAAAACTACCGGTTTTTCAAAAAACTTCCGTAAAAACTACCGCATTTTTTCAAAATCTACCGTAAAACTACCGCATTTTTTCAGAATCTTTCGCAAAACTACCGGTTTTTCAAAAAACTACCGTAAAAACTACCGCATTTTTAAAAATCTACCGTAAAACTACCGCATTTTTTCTAAACTTCCGCAAAACTACCGCTTTTTTCAAATTTCTACCGCAAAATTACACTTTTTTCAAAAATCTACCCCAAACCTCTGAAACTACAGTATTTTTTGAAAATCTACCGCAAAAATTACCGTATTTTTAAAATCTACCGCAAAAACTACCGTTTTTTTAAAAATCTACCGCAAAAACTACCGTTTTTTTCTAAAATCTACCGCAAAAACTACCGCAATTTTGTTGAAAAATACCGCAAAAACTACCGTATTTTGAAAAAATCTACCGCAAAAATACAGCAATTTTAAAAATATCTACCGCAAAATTTTGGTCTTAGGTTGGCAGGTATGCATATAGTAATACCAGTTTATGTGAGGAGAAGTCAGTGATTCTGAATGAAATATTATGGTTGATAAGATTGTCAGATCTTGGCATCAAGAACCTTACATCATTTTTATTTGAAACAAACTTTAGTCTCAAGTAGACATTAGTTACCCAGCATTAGCTACTTGTTACATTTTCTTTGAATTTCTTGTTACCTTGAGATAAGATGTCTCAATGTTAATATTTGAAATATGAAATATGCCCAAAAGGAGTGAAATTTACAAGGAATGAATTATGCATTCATGTAGTCAGAATCGTTAATTTGAAACAGTCAAGAAAAAAATTTCAGAAAATTTTTTTTCAGAGAGAAAACGTGTAAATTTTGCATGAATGTGGTTTTGTTTCATAGTCAAGGGTCGGGTAATAAACCACTGCTTACTTTCTGTGTTAAAACAAGCAATCCACCATGATATCATAATATATCAATCTATCTCATACAAAATATTTTAATAGTGCGCTGCAGTGAGATTTGTTTAGCTCATTAGATTGATTAGATTTGAAAGAGATGTTCACTGTATTGTTATACTTTGCTGCAACATTAAGAGACTTGATTTCATGCTTGTCAATTTTTGATTTTGTTCCGCAGTTTGATCATTTTTGCTAAAGAGTCATGATGGTTCTGAAAATATCAATCTAGAATCTGTATGTGTGATGAAATTTCCAGAAGCCTACTAAGCCAGTAAGACCATTTGCAAGTCAAGAACATGACTCCACTGTTGTCATTTCATCAAGATGCAAGTCGTTGAAATAATTTCATTGTGGTCATCATATACAAGTATTACACTTATGTTTTCTATGATTTCTGACATATTAGATTGTCTTATAACCTTTAATGCAAGAAAATGATTGTGTTACTTATAAGCATATTTCCTTGATGAATTTGATACAATAAAAAGGGATATTGAAAAATAAAACTTGTTTTGCATCCAGGTTTTCAGCTTTCTATTCTTAATTTTGTTCTATACTCTCTCTTTTGTTCTCAATCACTCTCTATTTCTATCCGGCACTCTTTTGTTCTAAATCACTCTCTATTTCTATCCAGCACTCTTTTGTTCTCAATCACTCTCTATTTCTATCCGGCACTCTTTTGTTCTCAATCACTCTCTATTTCTATCCGGCACTCTTTTGTTCTCAATCACTCTCTATTTCTATCCGGCACTCTTTTGTTCTCAATCACTCTCTATTTCTATCCGGCACTCTTTTGTTCTCAATCACTCTCTATTTCTATCCGGCACTCTTTTGTTCTCAATCACTCTCTATTTCTATCCGGCACTCTTTTGTTCTCTGGTATTCTGTTATTCTCCAGAAGTCTACAATACTCCTAAATGTTGTTCCTCATATGTTTCTATCTCTGTAATTTGAAGTTTTTCTCTGTATGCCCATTTGAAATGAAAATATAGTATATAAGTGTGGGGAAGTAGAGGTACATGGTGAGTAAAGTTAACAGGCCCATGAATTGACTCAAATTTGAGTTGTTGTTACATTATACATGTACAAGAAAAATAGAAAAAAGTGGAAATACATGTAATCCCTTTTCTATCTTACTTAAGGAAATCTGGTGAATGAATCTCTTCTCATCAATGTCTTTCACAGATGAATTATAACATTTTACAGATGTTTCCGGCTTTTCTGGTTTACTTTGTAGTATCCCTTCCCTACTACTAGCCCCAACCTTTCTTTATATATTTTATATATTTTATATATTTGATATTTTTATTTTTGCTCAATAAGAGGAAGGTTGAGGGGATTTGGAATAAATGAATTAGATTACATAATATAAGTTCAAAACACTTTTTAAAACTAATTAGTTTGTAAATGGAGCGCTTTGTCTGAATGGTTGCAAGAACAGTTACTTTCTTCAAGAGAGAGGAGAGCCTGAAGATACCTGCAAAATATACTTGTAGAACCACATATATCCTTAAACTATAACTTTGAATCTCAGAAATGTTTTTCTAAAATATACTGTGAATGATTTCTCCAGTCTCTCTATATATTTGTTATCCCTTATTGATCTCGAAATATTATATACCAGTCTAGCTACAAGCCTTTGTGCCCCACTCCCTCTATACACCTCCCTATGTGAGAAGTTGTTATACCTGTGAAGACAAGTAGTGGAATAGGAGAGGGGTCACAGGGGAGGGAAATGGAGAGGGTCACAGGGGAGGGGAATGGAGAGGGTCACAGGGGAGGGAAATGGAGAGGGTCACAGGGGAGGGGAATGGAGAGGGTCACAGGGGCTAGTAGCTAGACTAATCATATATTTTGTAATTTCAGTAATATAAATAAACTATCTTAAAGTTATGTGAACATGTTTTCGTGTCAATTAATTTTCTCCAAAGAGGCAAAAGAATGTATGCACTGCATGTTGAATGAGATACTTCATCTAACAATATGTTTTGTGTATCTGATTATTGATGAGTCTGTCAAGAATAGGTGAATGTCTACGACCAGAATAGATAGATTCTCTAAAAATAGCAACTACGGAAGCAAATACTACAAGACTTCATCCAGAACAATGCCCTTGTTGCAATTTTCAAACAGTATCAAGATCATGGTGTTCTATTTTTATCACTGTATTACATCAATGTTTCTTAGTTAGACAAATACTCAAGTTTTAATTGATCCTACCTATGGCTTTTATTAATGGATTTCATTAAAAACATTAAAGTTCACTGTGACAAAACTGAAAGATGTTTTGTGTGAAATGTATTTAAACCATATTAGGTGAAGTAATTAGCAAATAAATAATTACACGTTTTTCTTTCCATAATTGTATAATTTTCTTGTTTAGTATAGTTTTCTTATTTAATATAGAAAACCCTGTATATCTCGTATATATTTGAACAATGCTCTATTTCGAACTTTCAATATTAACACCCTTTGCCAGTCCCATTTTTTAATCTGCCAGAGGCTTCCATGTTAAAAATACTTAATTTGGGAAAACCTGCCAATCTGAATTTTGCCTGTCCTAATAGTTTTTGGATTGAACATGTTTTACTTTACAAGAACTCAAATATGATGCAAATTTTGATACTCCTATCATATTGTTGTTATGCATAATATAGAGCGTTTTAAAGGAACTTAATATTTATTGATATGCCAGAAATATATCTGATGAAACATGAGAAAATCTCTCAATATTTGAACATTCTGTATGTTTCAGGAGTTTGCAAGTTTGACAAAAGAGCTGAATCAGGCCCGGGAACACCTTTTGGATAAAGACGAGGAAATTACAGATCTAAAAGCAGAACGCAATAATACAAGGGTAAGTCAATATATTTATAAATGTGCCAATCCTCCTTACCTCTGGATGTACCAATCTTACTTTGTTAATGTTAACCCATAGAATGTCCTGCACTGGTTGTATATATGTCTGTAATCTGAGTTTGATTTGATTTGATTTGACGTCCATTTTTAACTGCAGCCAATACATTTTATACAATCAAAAAATTACAACAAAATCACTGATAACAGAGAGTGTCCGTCATGAACCTTGGAACCTAGCTAAATGAATTGATGAACGTTTTGGCAGAATCTTATCTGTTATATCTAGGTACTATTTCATTGCATTCTTGGTAGTATGTTGCATTCTGGGTACTATTTCAGCTGCTACTAGAGCACCTTGAGTGCTTGGTGTCTCGACATGAACGCTCATTAAGAATGACGGTGGTGAAGCGACAGGCGGCCTCTCCCGCTGGAGTCAGTAGTGAGGTGGAGGTGCTGAAGGCTCTCAAGTCACTGTTTGAGCATCACAAGGCTCTGGATGAGAAGGTTAGTAAATCGTCTTATGTTCTTTACTGGACGAAATGCTTGAAATGAGAAATGTTCATTTTTCTTTTCAATTTTTTCGCCCGTTTTCCCTTGAATTAATGGTGTGATTGAAATGCTTGAAACGGCGAAACAGGAACAAACAGCCAAACTTTAATTTCAATTCAAAGGTGAATCGATTGAAACAATTGTAATGTTTGATATGATGCAAGCATTGAAACAATTGAACTAATTGAAACGCAATTTACATTGTATACAGGGTTTAAACCTAAAACTCCATATCTTTAACTACCAAAAATAATAAGTAGAGGTATACATTAGAGGTATACATTTGAGATATACAGGAGCATTAAAGTACAAAGTGGACCATTGGGATTTTATCCTTTGCACAAGAGAAAAGCAAGAATCAATCTATATCGTTGAGTTATTATTTTTCATGACCAATAAACCTAATCTGAAGGCCTGAGTTAAAACACGAATATAGAACATCTAGATAACAAAGCGATTATACGGCTATAAAACATCGAAATCATGGCACCAATCTTGGCTATTTAAGGAACCTTTCCCAAATTATCCTCTCTTAGTTTCCTAATCACAATGGTATCATCTTCAATTGGTATCCTATGCAAGCAATTTCATGTTTTTTCTCAACACTTTGTATTCCACTCATATATTTCACCCATAAAATGTGACTTTTCTATTTTCAGATTTTATATGTAATCTACTTTATTGTTAATATTTCTCTCTTTTTCCGTCTCGTTTCATGGAGGAAAACTTGGTCAGGTATTTTTTGCATAGGATTCAGTATTTTTCTTGGTAGAATATAGTTCCAGAGGATTACTTTGCGCTAATCTTTAAATCCATGGGGATAATAGCAATTTATACCATATGTAATGGTCAAAACATATAAATAAAAGATGGGTGATTATCTGTGTGTTTATAAACACACCTACTTGGTAAACTTGCAGAAAACGGAAAATCGAAGATTAGGTTGAATGGGAGTAAGGTCTCTCATAGAAGGCAGGTCACCAGGGTTGTGTTTCTCTTCCTGTCCCTCTTGTTAGTGTCTCAAAAAATGTTGCTCTTATAACTAATCTACATTAATCTAATTAGCAATGGAAAAAATTTACAATGGGGTTCATTGCCTATATTTGGGTATTATTGCTCATTTGAAGACTGATCGTGAATCATGCAGTTATATTTGAATTAATCCTTTACTTCGTTCAATGCATTTACTACCGATCACATATATTCTTTATAATAACAATACTGACTGTGTTCTCCCAAAATATGTTTTAACCAATGAGATATTAAATTTTTATTTGGATTATGGTGGAAGATATTTCAGAATTGATGACATTGACATTCACTGTAGAGTGATATCGAATTGTGATTGTGATTAAGTATGATATTCTGAATAAATATGATATTCCTGAAAACTATAGACTCATTTCATTTAGACGTAATCAAGGAGAATGAAATTATATTCCAATTCATGATATGACATTAATTCTCTGCAAGGGGATCTTCTTTATCTTTCGGATCCAGGCGACAGTGAACAAAAAACTAGTTACATCAATCCATACAAATTATTTTCACTCTCATTTTGCTTTTCACCCGATATTCCAAAGATAATATGAAGATTTAGATATTTCGATTCACTTCTGTATAATGGAAACATATACTTTAATGTTTGTTTATCTTATTTTGTGTAAACCCTCATTTATAGGGTGTATTCTGCGAGGAAATATGTGACGGCTGAGATTTTTTGAGCGAGATTTGTAGTACTGTAAGCCAGATAGAGTAAAAGATAAGGATGAGTTATGACAATTTAAAGAAGACCTTTTCCCACAATGGAATTCTCACGTATACCACAGATATAATTTAATAAAGAGGAGAAAGCAAGGAATTAACTCAATACGGCATGAAATTAGCATGACACACATATTTTAGATTGAAGAAAAATGCAAGGAAAGCAGATACTTTGCTGTTTTAAAAGAAAACAAAACAAAATGGAGAATATTCTTAGAACTATTTTTGCCTAGATAGGAATGAGTTATAAGAAGTTAATGACGGCCTTTGATAGTAAATTTCAAGATTTTTTTGATTTCCTATTTGTAAGAATTCTCTAATTTATCAATCTGATTATTCTGAGAATCTAAGAATCAAAATTGCTATGTTTTTTTATGAATCAATATTTTATTTTTCTCCAAGAATGGACTTGAATAAATATATGAGATGTCAGCACAATTTTAGCTCAGATGAGTGAGCCATTGAAATTGCCCACTTGTTAATTAGGTGGGTGACATGGTAAATGAAGTCTAGAGAAAGTTTACCTAATCTTTTTTTAAAGTAGAGATCGTAGGAGTAATAGTAACATTTATAAAATTTAAAATTTCATCCTTAAGTTAATGAAACCACAGAATAAAATCCTGTGTTGAGGGCAGATGTGAAATTATATCATTAATGAGAGAATTGAATTTTCAATGCCAGCTTTACCATTTTTCAACTTTACGAACTCAACCTTTAGATAACAAATCCTCTATTATCCTGTAAATAGAGTAAAAAGGTAAGAAAAGCCAAGGAATATGGAGATTGGGAATGAAATTTATACTCATAGCTCTAGAAATATTTGAGAAAAATCATTTTTATGTCACTACTAGAAGTCTCCAACTTTTTATGGATGCTGTTTGATGGTGGCATGTGGTGGTTGGTGTTCAGTTGTTGACATACAGCATCTGTAACAAATGGCAGGTAGTGACATTTTGCATATAATGCCTCATTTAATGATTGCTAGAGATATTGAATGAATGAAGCATAACAGAGTAACTATTTTTGGAGAAGTTCTAACAATTACATCGACATATGTGCTTCTATTCTTGCTCTGTTAAATCACTATAACTCACAAAATTCAGATATTTTATCTGGAATGTCATTTGAGACGTTATGATAAATGAAATTATTTTGAAGATTACTCCTTTGACAAGTTATATGATGCTGATAAATGGACCCCTAAAAATATTTTGTTTTGAATAATTCCAATCTTAGACTATTTATTCCCTGATCTCCGGATAGAAGCATTTTTTTCAATTATGTATAAGGATAATTTTTTGAATTTGATTACTTTTCCTTTATTCCTTTGAAATCGTTGTTTTTTTTATTGACTTTTATTTCATTTAAAACCTTGAATATTCTGCCATTTTATTTATGAACATTTCATGAAAAATGGTTTAGGTGTTAAATCTAAAAATGCGACATTGTTGATTATTGTTCTCGTGCATGATGAGGCAGATGTCGTTACTTTTAGCGATAGCATATATCCCATAATGCATCAATTTTTGCTGCATTTTTGTTTCTCATTTTCCTTAGATATGATATTTTTTTCATTAAACTGTGCATCTCCTTTAAAGAATTATAGTTTATTGTATCATTTTTTCACCAATAGGGGGAGAATAAACCCCTGGCAAAATATGTCTAAATATAGACAACCCTTTTTATTTGCATCTCCTTTGTAGAATTGTAATTTATTGCATCATATTTTGTCATTATTGTGTCATATAAATCCCTTGAAAATGCCACATTTTTGCGCTTTTTGAGAGAATTAAGTAAGTCTAAATTATGGATGATAGACACAAAATTTGGTTAAAATCACTCAATGTTTGAAATGTTACAAAATTGGTCTTTGTTAATTTTAGATAGCATGTCAATAGATTTTCCTTCATCTGCAAATTGATGAAACAAAATTGATAAAATGTCAAATGGAAGAGTTGTGTACGTTCTTCGCCTGATTTAACCGAAGAAGTTACTCTGTTTGAAACAATGTTTTCCTAAATTTGATATCACTTTCCATAATCAAGATTTAAGATAATGTCAAATTATCAGGTTTAGATATTTTGAAAGATAGCAATGTATTCTTTAAATCTGATTAATTTTGGTGAAAAGACTGCTTTATTTTGTAATTTAATCAATAAAATTGTTTAAGTTCTTCAATCTTAAACAGAAAAGAGATTTAATTTGAAAAAATGAAAGAAAATATTCCATCTTATATTAAATCTGCATCGGCAACGACAACAACTCTTAAAGCGTGTAAGTGGTGAAAAGCTTTCAATTTCATTGAATCTTAGAGACTTTTTGTTATTTATATATTCAATATTCAAATGAGAATGTTTTGATCTGACACATCGTGATGTAACAATGATTGAGGACAAATCCTAACTTAAGATTGTACAAAAAATTAGAATTTTGTGTACGTTTGTACTAGTGGTGCAACTTGCAAGAAAAATGCTACTTGAGTAGAAAGTGTGAAAATGCCACTGTAATCGAGTACCACTCGCAAAAATGAGGGAAAAATTAAAAAGAAATAAAAAACTCACCTAGTCGACTGTTTGAAGACCAAATAGATACAATTTCTTCGTTTCTTCTATATGTTATTGATGTTATTTATAGTTTGTATCAATTTAGTGAGAATAAATGTAGTTATTCATGCCATAATTGTGTTTGTTTGTTTTTAAATATTTTCATTTTGTTTCCGGAATCGATACTTTGTTTCGTTCAGTGCATACAAAAAAATCATCATTCCCGGGGTTTAAACACTTCATAATAAAACATGCCTACTCTAGTTTGAAAAAACGTACTCGAGTAACTATCTTGGACAGGTTCAACGAGTGAGTGGCGAGTACTGGCATTCGAGTTGCACCACTAGTTTGTACTCACATGCTCATTTTAATATGGGGGTGTTCATAAGATTTTTTCTTTTATACAAAAATGTGTTTAATTTTGTACAATGAGGTTCTATGTTATATTGTTATGTTCTCTTTTGTTTCTAGGTCCATTTTTATACGATGAACTCTGTTATTTGGAGGTATTCTAGTTTATATAGGGATTTTTGCAGCATTGTTTAACGTAGAGATAATAATTTCCATTGAATTATTTTGCTGTATACTGCAGAGCAAAGGGAATCATCGTATCATTATCATCGAGGCTTTTATTGAAACTTGAACGAGAAAGATAGATTATGAGCCATAGATTAGTTACTAGGGTTAACTGGTTAACAAAAGATTATGTTTCAGTTTTGATGAATTGATAGCAAATTACTAATTTTACTAAATGCTGATGAAAAAATGTCACATCGACATTATGTTGCTTTGAGCTCTAAGTGAAATTAGACTTAGAAAGTGAATGAACGCTTGGATAAATTAATTGTCTGATGCGTTTCTGTATAGCTCAGTTTTAAATTTTTACGTGATTTTGTATATAATGCTCTCATGAAGATCATTTAGTTATATATATATATATATATTCTATGTTTCGAAGCAGGCTGTTTATCTCAGTCCAAATGGTGATGGATGATGATTTGAATGCAAACATACAAGAGTCCATATAATTTAAGTAAATCTTAGATTTAAATAGAAATCTAAACACTTTGTCTTGAGGCAAAAGGGTAACATTCTTTATATTGGTTACGCTTTTTTGGTGAGAACCCTGCAAAAGTAAAAAAGATTGATTCCAGTCAGAGGGTAATGTTCTAACTGCTGTTCCCAGGGTATATTGGTTGAATTACGATTTTGCCACATATGACAGTTTTGGTTTACTTAAGGTTGTATATCTGATTGGAGACTGAATTATCAGATAACTAATTGCGCTATTCAATGTATTATTACGCCATATTAACTATCACAATTTGCTCTGAATCTTGACAAAAATCATTTGAGTAATTTCGCCTCATTCTATTTTATATGTTATTAAAAACAACGGAATGGTAAGGATTGAAACTAATAGGCATGATGTGATATGGGTTATTATATAGAACTGAACATAATGAAAAAGTCGAGGTTGTTTTTAGACGGAAATTATAGAAATATTCATAGTACACCTCAGATCATTTGGGAAGGTTATGAAAATTGATTATCTGTGCAGAGAATGGTCATGACACATTTGACATTCAAGAAATAATTACATATTGCATCTACCTTTTCCGAAAATTTCTGAGAAAAATCTATTAGATAGAAAGGAGAAATAACTGATCATTATATAAATGAGGTTCAAAAGATACTGTGATTGGGCATTCAGGTTTCATCTCATTCTAAAGAAAACAATACAAAAAACTTGGGTTCAAAACTAGAACATTTACGTTGAGAATAGTACAGTTTATTTATTGACGCATTAGAAGCAGTAACAATCCAAGATTTTATAGTATCTTGCAAAAAATTATCAGAGGTCATGGTGAACAATTTATGACCAAAGAGGATAATGTCACATTGGAAGACAAATTGAACCGGCAATGATATTAAATACACAACTGTCAAATTATCCTGAGTAATTCATTTATTACTTTGTTGTTTTCTGTGATTTGGCCCATATTCATATTCTGCTCATCTTCCTTTCCAGTCCTCATGGTTGGAAACCGGACCAAAAGATCTCAAATTAGTTCTTATGTTTTATGATTTCCCAGAGAATAATTGAATGATTGATTTTATTGTTTTACGATCTTGATTCTTAACCTTGTCCTCGTGCTTTCCATGTCGCGGTGACTTCTTTCGTTTTTTCCAAAATACAACGCCATACACTTAAATGATAATTTTGAAGAGCGCTTAATATACAGGCCAGTGGAATAGGCCTACCTTCAGGGACCAATGTCTCTGAAGTACAACACCAACGATGATTGCATACCTTATTTATAAAAATGAGGGATGTACCAGAAAGATACACCATGAATATTAACATGGTTGACATCATTTCGCATTCTCTGGTGATATGTTGTGAGTGTTAATCCTTTTAGGACATATTCCATTTCGTATTTGAATTTGGTAGTGAGTGTACGCTGAGTTAGCATCTCCATTTTGTCAATAATTGACCACCAATATGTACTTAGATTGAAGAGGGAGAAAAACTTTTGGGACCTGAACTACATTAATACAGGGTGAACTAAAAATGTAACCCAAACAAATCTTAGTAACTCGATCATCCAGTATGGGTTTCAAGTCATATTTGATATAATTGAACCCCATTCCAGATGACTAATTCATTAAGATTTTTTGGGTTACCTTTTTGGCTCACCCTGTACAATAATAGATAAAACACTTAAATTAATATTGATATTGTCAATTGGTGATTATGTCATAGTAATGTCCCAATTGGTACCTAAAAAGTACATCTATTTTGGGAGATGTTCTACTAGGATAGTTCATTTAACATTAAGTTAATTGGTCATGGGACTCTGGAGTTTTCTAGTTATAAAGGTAAATTACATTGCAGTGACAAAGGTGTTCAAGTTTATTGTACCATGCGTATTGTAATAAAATAAAACTAAATGTTTAACACTCAGTTGATTTAAAACTCTGTGTTTTGCAGGTGCGAGAAAGGCTAAGGGTGGCATTAGAGAGAGTTGGTACTTTAGAAGAAGAACTTGCCATTGCAAACCATGAGGTAAGACTTTCCCAAACTTTTTTAGACTGCCCTTGTATCAGCATGTAAAGTTGAAAAAAATCCGGTTCTTTTAGCCCATTTAGATTAATCGAGTTTAAAATATAATTTAATTCAATAATTTCTATATTTAGCAAACAAATAACAAAATATGTAAAACTTTTCAAATATGTTGTTTGATATTGAACAAATATCGATATTTAAACAATATATAATCTCAAATTTATATTTTTTAGTTGTTTACCTTGCGGGAGGTACAAACAAAGTCACGGCATTCGAGCGGGGAGGAGCCAAGAATTACAAAAAATGGTTCAATAGAAATCAACTCCAATAACTCAACTCAAGAAAACTCAACCACCAGTGAACTAATTGAATCTAATACCCCACATCCAAAGGTAGGTCCAGCTGGTGCAATTACTGTTGAAAGATTGATTATTCAATGTCGATTTTTCTCCCAAATTATATAATAAAAAATGAAGAAATTGTAGGCTTGAATAGGCATAAGAATAATCAATAAGCTGTCAATCAAACCTGTCAAACAACCTGCCAATCAAACAATTAATTAAATATACCGATTTTTTGGTATTGCAAATTGAATACAAAGATCAATAGTTGATAGCAAGGTCACTGTAACCTTCGTACATATTTAGAAAAATATAAGTAAATTCTTCAGAATATTACTTTTGTTCTACTAAATCGTAATTCCTTTCTAATGAATTAGTCAATAGGAACATTCATACATTATTTGCTCCCTCAAAAGTTTTGATGACATCAATTTCATCAATTATATAAACTTTCTGGCTTTTCCTTTGTTTAAACCTGCACATCGCTCCAAAACGCAATATTTTGACATATATTGTTTTTACATTTTCAAGCTCTAAAATAAAGTTTCTGTAAATAAAAATTGTTTTTTCTGTGTAATATCAAAGAACAATCACTTAGTAAAAAAAGAAAAAAAGTACATGTGGGATTCGAACCCGGGCCGCCTGCGTGCTTAGCGAGCATTCTACCGCTGGGCTACCAATTCATTATAACTCCGAGCGTAATTAAACGCTTCTTATTTTGAATGCTATAATTCGGAGGTGACGTCACGTTCTTAATTTAGAAACCTTCCAAAAATCATATTGTCGTCGACAATCGAAGCAATTCAATGAATAATCGTTGTAATGACACATTTATCGTGAGTATTTATACACAAGATTTGCCCCATTTGTTCATCATTCTATAATCTTTCATTAAGCTCAAAATGATAAAGTTCACCCCCGAAACAACCCAAGATTGCGTTTTGGAGCGATGTGCAGGTTTAAACTATATTTTGCACAAAACAGACTGAAAATGACATTTCCTTCATCTGTTCCTAGTTACATTTAGGTATCATCTGATATGGTTATTCTGTTATTTTTACAAACCAGTCATAATATCGAAATTGAATTTGATTAATCATTTTGAGAGCTGAGTTCTAAACACCAGCGAGGGAGACTATATTTTGATTATCTCGATTATCAAATTACAATGTCATATTGTTCTCTATGTCAGTCGTTGCAGCCAATATATCTGCAGGTCATCCCAATTTTCTTCTTTTCTCTGAAAATTTTGACTAAAGTGCTCAAACTTTTGCGATTTCTATACAATTAAGAATATATACTCTGTGACTGTGTATTTTTTAGCTAAGAAATTCCTCTCTTTTTCATGTTATTTTTCACTTTAAGTTATGACCTTCTCAAGATATTTCTACTCTGGGTTACAACCTCCATGTGTTATTCACCCCTGGTTTCTGATTATCCATTAACTTTAACAATAGCTCTCTATTAGCCTTGCAATTTATTTCTGTTATAATAAAAATCTCACATTGGGGATGCTTTTGGGTGCTGATTTATTAGAAACAGAAATCGGAAGGGAATTCCATGAGCGAGCAAGAAAGTAACATTGAAAATTATCAATGAAATCTCAAAAAGTAGAAAAATATAAATCTCTGGTTTATTTTGAAAAGGTTGAAATTATCTATATAAGGTCACCAGCGTTTCTCAATAATCATTAGATGGTTTCGAGACACGATTTTGTAACGATTATCATTAAAAGTAAGTTATTGTTGATTAACTCGGTATGCTTCAGAGTAAGTAGAAAGCACATCTTGTTGAGAGCACATGTCTAGTAATTCTATGAATCGGCTCAGGGAACCTCAGTAGTTTTTCTGGCCATTTCAACTGAATAATCAGCCATTATTAAAATGATATACAGTAAAACCTGTCTTAGTGAACACCTCTCTTTAGTGAACACCTGTCCCTAGTACTGTAATGAGAAAAGGTATAGAATTTAAAACCTGACTTTCAGGGCTATGTTGGTGTAAGAATTACAGCAGAATCTAAAGGAATCGGTAAAAATAGACAGAAAACATGTAACTTTACAAAATCTATTTATCCGTTACAATTGTTAATTTATTTCCTGAAAATAGATTTAGATATTTGATGGAATATGGAACTTTCGTAAGATGTAGAAAAAATGTAATATGCAGATTTGTTTGTCTTTTTAAAAATATGCATGACATGTGAAGATGCATACAAGAGTATCAAATATTATTAGCAAATTCCCTTTCCCTTCTATTAAGCAATTATGTTGGATTGAAACCCTCCATATACACACTACTTTGTCAAGATTTTTCAAATTTAAATACACTGTATTTATTCTTTGATCATTCATTGCAGCAGCAGAAATGGTATTTGGGAACAAAATGCATATATTTTTGAAATGCTACTGAATCAGATTCTTCATTTTTACTCACATTGTATAATGTTATGGATTGGCGCCCTAAATATGACAGAAATATAGATTAATTCTGAAAAAATAAAAACTCATGCCTTCTCGTATTATTTTGCAATTATTTTTTATTTACCTCCCATATGATAACTAATTTTGGCATTTTATGTTACTTTAAATGGTCGCGTCATAGTTCCATAATTTATTTCTTGATACTTGATCTTTTCAGCTAGATTTGACTATGAAAAATAGCATTACAATAGAGTTTTATCCCTGGGGAAAATATGGCTTAAATTAACATGTAAATGATAGGGAACCAATTTATTGATTAGGTTTTGTCACAATTACAGATAAAATACCTCTACAAAAAATAATCTTGAGGCAATTGAAATTTTGCTCATTCCCAAAATAACAACCCCTAAATATTGCCTAATGGGTTGGACTTGTTGATTTATACAAGTGCTCGTTTTATATTTTGCAATTTCATTTTTATTTGAGACATAGCACTTAAATCGTTCATATGAACATTTACAAACTTGGCTATTAGGCAGACATGATGAACTATCTCCATTCTAACATCATTGAATATTATTGTCAGATAATCTAAACTTATTGGTTGCTTTGATCACCTGACTATTGCTGAGCATCATGAGTAAAACCTCCTCTTTTGTAGATCCTCTCAATTTTCACTCACAATTGATCCTTCGTAGATTCATGTTTGCTTACCTGTAAATGTTGTGTATCGACTCCCTAATAGTTTAATAGAATTAAGTAGAGGAAAATCATAAAACATTTTGATTTTGATCAACACCACAAGTGGTGACATATTGTCGTAGTCTCCAATTTTTTTTGGGGATCGTGCTCGGCAATCAATATTTGGCTTCTGTAACAAATGGCAGGTGGTGACCTTTTGCATGTTAATGCCTTGAGTACCTTGTTATTCTGAGTTGTTACTTTTGTTTTTGATGTTGAGCAATCAAGTTCAATTCATAGTGCCAATGCAGTGCAATGTGTTTTAAACAAAATAGAAATTGAATTCTCTTGAACTATATGAAGAGGTTTTGAATCTGAATACTGCTAAAGTGAACACTTTTAGAAGGGAACATCCCTTGAATTGATTGACTCTCAAGTGATCACCTCTCTCAAGTGAATACCTCTCTTAAGTGAATACCTCTCACAAATTAACACATCTTTGAAATTAAAACCTATTTGCTCAAGTGATTATCTCTCAAGTGAACACCTCTCTAAAGTGAATACCTCGCTCAAGTAAACATTTTGCTGTAGTTAGCACCTATCTCAAGTGAACACCTCTCAAGTGAACACCTTTCCCAAATGAACACATCTTTGAAATCAGAACCTATTTCCTTTGTTAAAAACATCAATTTCATATATGAATAATCTTAGATTTAAGATCAATGCTTTTTAAGGTAGCTTATCTTTCTATCTGTTGTTGAAGACATTAACTGTCAACATACTCTGACATTTTAAGAAGTGAATCAGTGTATATTGATTGTCAAGAAAATGTAATTGCTTTAGGGGAGGGGTGAAAAGGTGACTTCGGTTAATGTGGCATAAATTGCTTTCAAAAAATTGACTGTTATTATAAGTTCTGATCCAAATCACTCATGTTTTGAGGGGGTAGGGGGAGTTTACAAAAACTTTTTTTTATCGTATATCATTATTATGTCACCACCATAAGAAGTGATTTATTTTTATAGTCTCTAACTTTTTGGTGGACTTCAGTTGGTGTTTGACGTCTGTACTAAATGGCATCTGTAACAAATGGCAGGTGGTGACATTTTGCATGTTAATGCCTTGTTTGATATGCTAGCCTTAGTCATATTACATAATTCAATATTCCAGTGTCTGTATTGCTGTACATTATTTCAGATATAAATTATAATAAATCTTACATACCCCTGGACACGACTTTAACTTGTTCCCTTAAGTGTCATTTTGGGGGTCTAACGGTGGAGGTTATTGATACAAATGAGGTATTTAGTAGTTTAGAAGACTCCTTTTAACATGAAGAAATTCATTTTTTATGTCTCTAAGCTGCAGTTCTTTCCTGTTTTCCAATTGTTGTATCTGTTTTTACAGTGATTAAATTCTTCAATGTTTTATGACAGTAATAGAATTAATAGGATTTTCATGTCGTATTAAATTATTATTTCCACCTTGCCTGGCCAGTTCTAGGGGTTTTGGTGCTAGTTTCCCCGGGAAATTAGATATCGTTCAGTGCGTAAGATTTTCTTGCTGTTTCAGTCCTGGTCATTAACGGTGGTAATAATACTAATAACGTCATTTCTGCGGGCAATATAGTGAAATATTGGACCTTGGGCCTTTGGTCCAATATTTCACTATATTGCCCTTCGAAATGACGTTATTGTACTATTAATTGGATATTCTACTATAACTCTCGAGAGCCTTGGAATACCTACTGAAGGGAATAACTTTGGCCTCATAAGAGTGTTCCAAATATATAGGTTTTACAGTGAACCATGCCACTGTTTCAACCTTGATCTTGTGCATCTGTCATCTGACTATCACACATAAGTTTGAGCCTTTATTTGTAATTTTTGATGCTCACACTGGCTTTGGAATTTTCCACATTTGTTTTGTTGTAATGTCTATATGTGTTATTGTTATTGCAGAGACTTTCCAATGGTTCAATAGACCCTGACAGTGAAGTTAATCGTGTCATTGAGCTTCAGGATATGGTAGAAAAACAAAATGTAGAACTAACCAATGCTCGAACTAAGCTCACTGAACTCACTAGTAAAATAAGTGAATTTGAGGAGAATTTGGCCACCTCACAAAAAGAACTGATGAAATCCCAGGAACAGGGTGTCCGGTTACAAAGAGATCTTAAAGAGGTATGTGAATAGAAATGTTCAATTCTGTATTGCCACTTTTTATATTAATTTTAGGATGTTTTTATTTTATTTGTGAAGGATATTTAAAAATGAGTTCTGCTATTTTTACTGTATAAACCTAATTTTTGCGCAATCTGTAAGTGATACTTTGACCATTAATTTTTTGTTCAGTAATAAAGCATTGTGCGTATTCTGTTGCATTTTGAGTATTTTAAATTTCAGTCAATCCACCAGCGGGAAGATCAAGAAGAAAGAATCGCAACTTTAGAAAAGCGATACCTCAATGCCCAGCGCGAGTCAACATCAGTTCATGATTTCAACGATAAGTTGGAGTCTGAACTAGCAATGAAAGAGAGCCAAGTCAAGTCTGTAAGTTATCCTTTAAAATATACATTATCCTTAAAAATAGAGGATATGCATATACCAAACTGAAATGGAAACCATGTCAAATCTAGCGTAAGGTGTAGAGATATTGCAAAAATAAATACAAGCAATAAAGAATCTAATTTGTGCAATGTTCAGTAATCAGAATCTTTCAGTAAATATATTTAACCATTTTATCATCTTCACTCATATCATAAAATGATCAATTCTCTGCAAATACCTTTGAAACAGATTATTTCCTTAACTCTTTAATTCATGTGGTATCACAAAGCTCTAGTAAATTAGTAGGCAATGATGATAATTGTGATGGGATGGGATGGTCTATGCAATGTCTTTGATCTTCTGATTATAAACCATGTTCCACAAGATGCCTTTGTTAGTTGGTCAACGACCAAAAGTCCTAATACTTATCAGTCCTCTCATCTCCAAGTGCAACTTTGAATAGGGAGAAAAATTGCAAAAAATCAATCTAATTATCTTAGTTAGTGATAAGCCTCTTTCTTGATTATAGCCAAATAAAAAATCTGATTATTCTAACCAAATAGAAGTTTATAGGGTTTAATAAGAAACTCCTGCCCTGAAAGTGTCATCAATGAGTATAGATATTCCTCTTTTTAATTCTCTCTTTGAATGAAATGAACTTAATCAAGCTATGTTCAAGAAGTTTTGGTCATTTTAGGGTTTGGATTTCATCTGTGATGGTTTTTTCTGAAATTGCTCCTATTTTTGGAGTTGTTTTTAAAATACAACAATGGTGATATTTTTGAGGGAATTATCTTCTTGAACTGTAATTTAGTTTCATGTTTTTTTCACTTGTCTACTCTGAGAGTGATATATACCTATTCTGCTAATTTCATTCAGAAGTTCATCTGCACAGTAAGAGAAGGAAATACTTTCAGGTTATTTCATGATTATGGGGTATATTTTACAAGTTATTTCATGATTATGGGGAATATTTTACAAGTTATTTCATGATTATGGATAATATTTTACAAGTTATTTCATATTTGAATATATTTTGCAAGTTATTTCATGATTATGGGGAATATTTTACAAGTTATTTCATGATTATGCCAAATATTTAACAAGTTATTTCATGAATTAATCTTGCGATTAAAGAAAACTATTCATAATTTCTTGTTGATAATAAGGACCATCTATTGTTATATTTTATTTTCCAATTATGGGGTAAATATTTGTTCTGTGCCAAAAAAAGATTGCTACTTAAACTTATGCCATGTTAAAGAATGTAACTAGAGGCACAAGTGCTCATTTTAGCAGCATGCGACATCAGCCAATTCAATTGATTTATCAGATGTTTTCTAAGAATTCACGCAGAGCCACCAGGGAAATTATCACGACTTTTGGACAAATCCACAAATCTACCTTGACACAACTGAGAAGATGTCAACCTTGTTTTATGTGTACAGCCATGAAATGTTATTTTAAGAACTGTTGATGAAATTGTGGTGACATTTTCTGAATTGATGAAAATGTTACCGTTCGATTCACCACTCCAGTAAATAATACTTGTATTTGTAATTATGCCGACACCAGATTGTAATCATCTCAACGTTTTTGTGGATGGTGTTTGGTGGTCTGTAGTTGGCGGATAGGTGTTCGGCATTTGGCATCTGTAACAAATGTCAGGTCATTTGTTATTAATGCCTTGTTGTTTTAAGTTGACAAACTGTAGAAGTTTATACAGACAATCCTCCACGGTAGGCATTTTCATATTTACACTTAAACATGTGACTCATTTATAAGAGATTTTCTATGTTTTTAGTACGAAGAGAAGATCAGACAATTGCAGGAGAAGCTGGAACTGTCAGAACAGAAGCTGCAGCAATATCTACGTAAAGCTGAGGCTCTGCCAACAGTTGAGGCAGAACTTGTTTCTAGAATGGAGGCTCTCAGTCAGGTAAGTTTGTTTGTTATCTGTTGCTAGGTGATGGCATGTGACATAATGATAAGAAATAATCCTGCTGAAATCTAGCAGGGTAAAAAAGTAGTGTCAGTACGTTTCTCCTTCAGGATGAGATGCAACATGTCATAAAGCAGATAAACAAGATTTTATAGGTCTTTGTTAATGTTTTCATTTCATTTCATAATGACTTTCATGGAGAATGTTTTCACAGGAAGAAAAATCAGAAAAACCTAGATATATGGGTTAATCAAATGCAATAATCTATTATCTAAGCAATTATCTAGTATATGACATAGATTGAAATCTTCAGTACACACGGTAAAAAATCTAAAACCAATATTTCAGTATGTATGGCTGTATTACAATATATCTGATTGTTCTGCAATGTGTATGGTTTTATTATAATATGTATAGTTGTATTGCAATATGTATGGTTGTTTTGCTATGGTTATTTTGCAATATTTATGGTTGTATTCCAGGCAGAAGAGCTGCATGGCTGTATGTATGGTTGTATTGCAATATGTATGGTTGTTTTGCTATGGTTATTTTGCAATATTTATGGTTGTATTCCAGGCAGAAGAGCTACATGGCTGTATGTATGGTTGTATTGCAATATGTATGGTTGCTTTGCTATGGTTATTTTGCAATATTTATGGTTGTATTCCAGGCAGAAGAGCTACATGGCCGTATGTATGGTTGTATTGCAATATGTATGGTTGTTTTGCTATGGTTATTTTGCAATATTTATGGTTGTATTCCAGGCAGAAGAGCTACATGGCTGTATGTATGGTTGTATTGCAATATGTATGGTTGCTTTGCTATGGTTATTTTGCAATATTTATGGTTGTATTCCAGGCAGAAGAGCTACATGGCTGTATGTATGGTTGTATTGCAATATGTATGGTTGTTTTGCTATGGTTATTTTGCAATATTTATGGTTGTATTCCAGGCAGAAGAGCTGCATGGCTCAGCAGAAGAGGAGTTACGTGGTCTAGCGTCACAAGTGGAGGAGAAGAACTCGGAATTACAGCGGGTCAGTAAATATTTATATATAATTTGAACGATCCAAGCTTGATGGCCATTTTCTATTAACAGAGATTGTAAAATGAATCTCGAAATATTCAATTCACTTTATTTCATAAATTATTATTTAACATATACTATAAAACATGCTGCTGGACACACAATGGGCATACGTTGTCATGTAACAGAAATTAATTTTTTAACTACAATTCTCTTCTTATATAGATATTCATGTATGAATTTGATTGCCTCAATATTTGATGATCTATTTTCTATTTCTTGTTTTAGGCGCATCAACGTGAAAAAATGAATGAAGACCACAATGCTCGGTTGTCTGCGACAGTCGATAAATTATTGATGGAGTCCAATGAACGATTGCAGCTCCATCTAAAGGAGAGAATGCAGGCGTTGGAGGAGAAGAATCAATTAACTCAGGAACTAGACAAATTACGGAAACAATATGAAGAAAATGCGCAGGAAAAGGTATGTTTTATTGATAAAGGTTATCATAAACAAACAGTTGACTGTGCAGACAAATATGAGCATCAGATAGTTTAATGACAATAATGGAATGTGGACTTATATTTATATATGGTTTGAATTTATTCATTATGTTCACAATCATTAGGAAGGAATTTGTAGTTTATCCTGTTGATATCATTGCTCTTGAAAATGATACTTTTTATTTTCTCTGATTTATTCATGTATTTATTATTTTCAGGAAAGATTATCTCAAGATTATGGAAGGACCAAAAAGGAACTACAAGCTATTAAAGCCCAATGGGAACAAACTTATAGGTAAATGTACCCTGAAATCCCTTTTATCATCTTTTCACAGATAATACTTTAATAGGGGTATAGAGAGGGAGTTAATTTGTTCCATACATATACATGTTACTTTTGAAATACTGTACTCCGGGTAATGTTCGCGTGCGATTTAATTTCGCTATGTTCGCGAATGTAGTAAAATCGCGAACATTTATCGTCGCGAAATTTGTCTTAAATCCCCGGGGATTTGACCCAGGCCTTTTGATATGTTTCGTTCGGTGTGAAACGTTTCTTCCAGTGTTGTTGGGCGAAGACCTAAAAACATTTTGAATTGGCTTATTAGGCCAACAAAGGCAAGAACTGTTGACGACAATGATATCCTACACATTGAAGTTGAAAAAGCCATTCAAGAATATTCAAATAAATGCCCTAAACGTGGGAAATACAAACATTATTCGGATTCTGAACGGGCTAAAATAGCCCACATTGATTCATGGTAATCGGAAAAAAATCAACTTGTGCAATCTGCGAAATGTCGTCAACTCAAATCCGCGAAATTAAATAGACGCGAAATTGCAATTTTGAAAAATCGCGAAATTTTATAGCGTCGAAATTTACCCGGAGTACAGTAATGTGAATTTTGATTTATGAATATTCAGTTTTTTCTCATCCAGCTAGGTCTGAATTCTGATAAATATCCTAAAGTGATTCAAATATTTGAATGTATTCCAGGTCCACGGGGAGTTTAGGGGGAAGTTACCCTGGTACCCCGAACCCTGGAGGTTATCCGGAGACAACAGAGGTGCTTCTAAGACAGAACAAAGGAAGAGACATCTTGGAAGACCCCACTAAGGTATGGCCCTGTGTAAATGGAATCCCATTTCTGGTGACATACTTTTGAGTGTAAAAGATCGGATTGAGGAATTTGTATAAACAGAGTACAAGGGGTGTTCCAAAAGTAGTAGGATTAGCTTAAAATAGTTTTTTTAGATTCAAGAATTTCAATTGTCTTTCCTGAAGTAGGAATGGCAAAATTGGATAAAACATCAACATGTCACAATTAGGAAATTTTTGAGAACCTGCTCCCATAAGTTTTGGAACACCTATAAACATGCAGATGTGAAGTCAAGTGATTTGATTTTTTTTCTATTTTACTGCATGTTTTCTCTGTTTAATAATGACTGCACGATAGTTAGTCTAATGAAAACAGCTTTGCTGGTTTAATAAGGGATCATATACAATTATTAACAGTTGTGGAAATACGTAGGAAGTTAATTTGGTAACTTAGGGGAGGGCTGAATGTTGATTTCATTGGTAGAAATTTCGATTTTGAAATGAGTTTCAGTTTCAGAGTTGAGTGGAATGGAAAATTAACATTATCAAAGTCTGTCATCTGGGGGAGTGGGATTGAACCTTACCATAACAAATTTTTCTTTATATCACAACTTTTGATATTTGAACTGGTTTTAATTGTAGTGTACAAACAACAAATCTCTAAATATGTGACCTTCATCTTCAAATAATACATATTTCATGTTCCACGTTTTCATTTAATTCACATCATCCAATATTTTAAAGAAAATCAGGGAAACTTATGTCCACCATGGACTTATTTCATCCATTTGACACTTAGATGTGAATGGCTCATTATTGCATGTAGTGTCTTTAGATAGATGTGTCAAAGGTGTCACTCTTTTCATGCTGAATTTTGTTTATCTAAATTAAAAGAGCAAACTCCCAAGGCAGTGTTTGTCAACATAGCACTGCAGCGGACAAAACATTAGTCTCAGCTTCCACCATAGGATGGCTAAATTAAAAAATTACCATATATGGCAGCTGATATTGTGTCATCATGACAACAGCCAATCAGAGCGCTCTATTTGTTGTAGAATGATCACATGATCAATCAAGGAAATAAGTGAAGTTATCATGGCTAGAGTGACATCTATCTTTGTAATATGTGTTGCATGTTTCGTTGAAGTCTTGTGTCAAGTCACTGGAGTAAATATATCCCCCTCCTGCCTAACGTACTTTGAGTTGGGTTAATATAATGGATGAACAATATAAAGACTTGGGGTAAACCAAATTGGGTCTTTATCACAGAGATGTAATGTGGAAAGAGTATGGTTTGGAAAGAGGGTCAGAAAGTGTTTCAAGATTGTAGTTGTAAGTCTGTGATGTACTTACATCAACCCATACAATATTTTTCCAAGCAAAATTATATAAAGGACAAAGATGAATTAGGAAATTGGGGAGGGGGTTACAAGGGATGTGACACAAGATATGTTGTTTTGTAGATGTGTAACATGTGGTTTTTATTTTAGACCAATTATAGATTGTTCAGCGAACCCGAGAATTATGATGACGTGTTTGAAGAAGTAAGAACAAGACACAGACATATTAAGGCACACTTTAACGATCTTGTAACCTCAAAATTACTTTTCATAATCATTAAATATCTTATTCATTTTATTAATTTAATTCATTTGTTTACTTAAAACACAAATTTTGAAATTCATATCTTAACATCCTCCGATCACAGGGCTTCAAAAGATACAGACATTAATAAAAACCAGAATTTTAAGTCATACTTCCTTTCCCCTTACTTCATAAAATTAACTCCAAGTTAATTGTGCTTATAGCTAACAACTGATAAATGAATTTTAAACCTCCAGCAAAAGTTTTGCCTCTAAGTTGAAAAACTGCATCTTTAAAAGGTTACAAGATTGGTATTAAAATAATACTATATAAGGATGCTTACGATTATTTAATGCTATTTCTAGCTGTTTCAATATTCAATAAGCCATTCCACTTACATACCTAGCGAAACATTTGTATGGAAGTCAATGGGAAAGAAAAAATGGGCTATATCCACCAATATTGCCCAGCATGGAATTGGAATATGCCTTCGTTCTTACCCAAATATAGAGCCTCCCAGTGTTGGCCTATATATATTTTATTTTTTATTTATTGATTTCTCAATTCACCCTTTATAGGGTATAAGAGTACAAAAGATAAACTTAACTAATACAGTAACATAACATTAAGATAACATTATAAATGTACATTTTTTTGCCCAGCCTCGATTAAAAATTATATTGGGAGAACTCAGGCATATTTCACGTCATAGTGACATAACCTCTGAATAGATATAAAAAGACAACCAGAGTTCAGTTGCACTTTCCTAAATAAGTTTTTGAAATATACTTTTAAGTTCTCTCGAGGGCTGTCGAACAATCGTACACCAATACTTATTCTATGATTTGGCAAATAACATTGAATACAAGTAACCACATTAATATGATATTATTGATAAGTATATCTGTAACAGTGTTACATTTTGGTATTCTTCATTCTAGAATATGCATGCATTTAAGTGATGTCGCACTTATATATGTACTGATATCATTGAAGAGATGATCAAAATTATATATTATATATATTCGCTGACTAATTAAACCCGCTGCTTTGCTTTAGCTGCTTTTAACCTTATGCTTATGGGGGGGGGGGTCATCCATCAAGGCTATTAATGCTTGGACATATGCTAGGCACAATTATTAAAAGCACACATTATTTTATATCAATGATATGTGTATGTTGATAGGCATGAAGCCAAATAAATGGTGTCCGAAATTTAGAATTAAATAATTGAATATCAATGGAGTTTGAGTCACTGTATCCAATATAATTCCAAGATAAACTTATATTAGAAATTAAATATTTGAGAATATCTATAAAATAGCCATTCTGATAATTGATAGCACTTGTTTAACAATCAAATGCTGTTCTTTTGACATATCATACAAATCTAGCATATTTTAATTGATATATTATAAACTGTTAGTCAAACTAAAGGGAGTACTGACTCCCAGAATTCCCTTGAGATATTTGTTTGACTGGCATGGAGCAATGTGATAATACTATTAGTAATCTGTTCATTTTCTGACTAAACAATTGATCTGAAGATAAACATAATAGTAATATCATTATCCAATTGGTCCAGGCTAGTCAGTAGAAGTTTAAAAAAGAATGCTGGGGTCAATCCTCCTTTGTGGAACAAGAAATTCATGTTCCTTCTCTGTTTTCAGGTGAACACTCTCAATGAACAGGAGTGGGAGAAACTACAACAGGCTCATGTGTTAGCCAATGTCCAGCACGCATTTGACACATCTGACATTGAGGACACCCCTGAGGAGAATGAGTCAGTCTTCGTTGCCATGGATATGTTATCACCGGCTGGACAAACAGATGCCCAGACACTGGCTCTCATGCTACAAGAGCAGCTAGATGCTATAAATAATGAAATTAGGTAGGCGTGTCATTCTAAAAGTATTCTAACTGACTCTAATTATAACACCACCAGAAGCGATGACAGTAAGATTTTTATAAAATTTAGAAAATATAATGTTGTTGAGTTGATACGAATTTCTCAGTAATTTTATTTAAAATGGGATAAAAACAAGGTGGAGATTTTCTACCTACCTTGTGCATTTTGTCTACTCCCAACAACTCAAAATGTCAATATTTTCAGGTTAATACAAGAGGAAAAAGAGACAACTGAACAAAGGGCAGAGGAATTGGAAAGTCGTGTTGGTAGCGGGAGTCTTGATACTATGGCCAGTAGGTGGCACTATGGCGGCTCGTTTGAACGCAGCTCATCACCCCCTGTAAGTGGTCGATCTACGCCCACACATATTCCAGCACTATCCCAATTCAACCGCGCCAATTCCGGGACTTTTATAAACAAATACGCAACAGTGAGTTCAAACGTGCATGGGGCAACATGGGAATGAAGTGGAATGGGGCTTCGAGTGTTGTATTTTTAATCAGATTTCTAACGCTGTTTATTTGATGCTAGACACTGGATATACTAACACAGAATCACTTGGCTGTGTAAGGTCAAAGATAAATTCCAAGCATGCTGACTTTATGAAGCCTTAATATCACTAATAGCATGGGAATGTCACATATGACATACTTTTTCAACACTGAGATGTTTATGGCGGTTCTTAATAAAAATTCGAAAGGGCATTTTTATACTAATGTGTATCTAAGAGTGAAAGTAAAGTAATGCATGCATAATCATCTTGTGAAGTCTCTATAATAATTTTTTTGTTAGATAAGTAGCATGTGGATTAGGGATTGAAACTAATTTCTTAAAGTTAATGAAAATTATTTTAATAGAAATTCTCAAACTTTTTTTCCCCAAATTTTTTTGATTGAAATCATTCAGAATTTATCTTCATTTGGCTTGGAGTTTCTTATTATTCTTTCTTATTATTTCAGTTTTGTTCTATCATTTGTTCATTTTTTAATTTTGCTTTTTATGTTTTTCCAAGTTTCATCTTTATAGCTTTCTGTTTTATTTGCATTTTTGAATTGTTTGAATGTAAAATAAGTCAGCATATTTTACTATTCAGTTTGTTAACCATGTTTATTTAAGTCATTTGTTTATCTTAAAATACATTAAAATATAGAAAAAACTCAAAACAATTTATCAACTTCAATACAATAGACTAATTGTTACAAATATTATTTTCTATAAAGATGACAGTTTAAAAAATTGCTAAAGCTAATTGCTTCAGAAAGGTGCATTCACCTCTGAGAATATGCAATAATCTGACCATTTACTCGTTGAGTAATTTTTTCAGTACTAAGCTTATTAGTATTTCCAGTAAATTGTATTTAAGTCATTTGATGATAAGGAATGGGCTGTTGTGATAATTTTTTGACAATTTATGATCAGAATTAGCAATTTGGCCCCTTTTAGCACACTGCTTACTTCCTCGGTTTTATTTTCCAGTGACGACAGAAAATCAAAAGCATAAAGATCTCGCTTTAAGTCGTATATTTTTATATATCAGCTAATATTACATACAGGTACAGTTCTACCATACATTGATATTTTAATATAAAGTTAGAGACAATGCAGTTTCTTCTCCACATGGGATTATTTTCTCTATGGAACTACTTTCAGGCGCCACCAAATATGTCCGCAGCACACACATATTCTTCCTCCAGTCCACACTTAGTAATGCCAGATTCTAACAACTCAAGTACTGCAAACCAGGTATGTGGAGAAGTGTTTATTTCCTTGATATACTGTACGCCCGGTATTATTCGCGTGTGATTTAGTTTCACGCTTTTCGCGAGGGTGTTAAAATCGCGAAAAATTATCGTCGCGAAATTGCCAATTAAATCCCCGGGAATTTGTTTTTATTTGATTTCCCCTAGTGTACTACTAGTACTCTTTGCTTTATTCCAGGAGGGATTTCCCATAGATTTTTTGACCTTTGCTATTGGCACGTTCGATAACCAATTTTATAAATTGACCTCTTTGCCATTGAAATGGATACTAGTACTGTATCCCAATGTTCGCTGTTGCTTTATGAGTTTTCTCTACTAGTTTGGATCGAGTTATAGTACTTCAATAGCACTGTGCAACTCCATGACTTTACTATGCGCATGCGCAGCAATGAAAGAGCACGTGTGCACGATTGTTCACGTGATCGTAGCCTGCAATTTGATTGGACATCATATACTGGGGAATCCCCGAATACGATAAAATACAGTATGAAGTATGGTAAAGTTATTATGGGAGCCACGCACTTTTGCTTTAATATTAAAAATGACGATGCAATAGAGGTTGATATGCAGCTTGCCGATGATAAAGATCCCAGTTATTGTAAATCTCATCCAAATATGACATCAGGTAAGTGCAATTACTGTACATCTAACTTAATTTACACACGAGTAGCTCGAGAATTCCTGGAATAGTAATGAATTTCAAACTTGTGAAATTTGCGAAATTTAATAGCCGCGAAATCGTGTTTTCGCAAATTAAATCTCGCGAATAATACCGGGCGTACAGTACTGATATATAGACAAATTGGCATTAACTATTAATGCACCATTCAAAGGTTTTTGTGAGACCCCCCCACACGAGGTGGGATGGGAATTTGACGCACTGTTTTTACCCAGGGATTTTGATATAGTACTTCATCCCAGAGTAGGGACTTTTAAATGCATATTCCTGGGAATATACCATGTACTTGACCAGCTATTATTGCTCTTAGGGTGTATACATTCATGTAGTATAAAAATGAGAATATTTGTAAATGTAGGAAGTTTTTCTTTCATGTCATTACTTGCATTAGTCTACTTGTATTTCATACCTCTATTAAAAATGCATAAAAATGAAATATTTATAGATACTCTGTGTACAATTTCAGTCTGCCACAGTAAGCAATAAAGAAGCTGATGGTGCAAAACAGAACCCAGGTGACAGCACTGAAGCCAATAACTCTGAAGAATCGCGTCAGATAAAATGTGAATCTAGTCCCCCCACTCCGCGGTCATTACGACTGGAGCGTGTTGCTCAGGCGCTTGCACAGAGCCATGAAGAGCTCACCAGGTGAGATATTTTTATAAATCTCTTTGCCTCGAGAGAAGCAGTTAAACTACTTTGTTATGAGAATTATTTAGGGAGCACGAGAGTCAGGGGTCCTATTTTTGGATGTAGGTGGTGGCACATCCCTTTCCTGTTCACCTTCTCAAAATTCAACTTTTCCCCAAGAAACCTGTTTTTACCCCGGCCCACCCTCTGCCCCTAAGATTATCATTTAGAAGAAAGTACCAATGTGATATATAAATTACATGTAATATAAATATGCTAGCATGTTATGCTTTAATGATGTTAACAGGTGATATAAAGATGCTATCATGCAATATAAAGATGCTAGCATGTGATTTAAGGCTGGAAGCTAACATGTGATATAAAGATGCTGACATATGATATTAATATGTTAACATGTGATATCAAAATGTGAGCATGTCATTTAAAGATGCTAGCAAGTGATTTAAGTATGCTATAAAGTGATATAAAGATGCTAACAAGTGTTAAAAAGATGTCAACATGATTTAAAGATTCTAACATATGATATGAAGATGCTAGCATGTGATATTTGTGATGCTTACATGTGATATAAAGATGTTAACATGTGATTTGAATTTGCTGACATGTTATTAAAATGCTAACATATCATGTAAAGATGCCAACATGTGATATAAAGATCTTAAAATGTGATAAGAAAGAGTATGCAAGCATGTGATGAAATGATGATAACACATAATACTTATATTAAAATGCTAACATTTGGTATAAAGATGCTAACATGTAATATAAAATACTCTAACATGTGATTAAGCTTGTGCATTGTTCTGCTTTGTTTTAGCTTAGAGAACCAAGCCACCTTTAGATTAACAGAGTCTCTCTCACACAATAGAACCAGGTAGGAAAAAATGGGTCTGAGTTGTAATGATATCTCTAAAACAGAAATTATGGAAAAATGGATCAGAATCTTCATTTTATCCCAACTGTTCGATGATATCTCTAAAATAGAAGTTATGGTTCTAGTTTTGGATAGACTCGTGTGAATAAAACCAAATGCAATAGAAAGAAATCCAGAGGTCTACTTAAAAACTACTTTACTAAGATACACACATGTATACTAACATATACTTAAGGAATAAAGGATTATGAATCTTACCAACACAGCACTCTCAAATACTGTACTATTAACTTATACCACTTACAACATATATTAAGTTATAGTTTGAAAGTGTGCATATCATGTGCAAATGATGCATCCTGTTTATTGTGAACATCAAATCTGCTGTTTTAAGAACAACATGTCGTAAACGTAATCACTCTTAACATGTATAAGAAAATATATAGTGCTAAAAAAGATTTATTTATTTTTATGTTGCAGAATTTTTTACAATGATGAGAAATATCCTTTCCAACATGTATCCATCTTTTTAAAGCATGTACAATAAAACCTTCCTAATCCCAATAACACTAGGACTGGCCAAAAGTATTCAGATCGGCAGGTTTTCACATTTCACAGATTTTTTAGTGGAAGTTTATGGCAAATTAAAAAAGGGAATTGAGAAAGTTTTCACACAGATTAGAGAGGTGTTCGAATGTGTACATGTTTTACTGTATTCAATTAAAGTACACTCACACTATTGTAATTAGTAGGATATCAGGGGACAGCTCCCACAGCACACCATCTCCCATGAGCTCTAACAACAGCAGCCAGGACTCCCTACACAAGCAACCCAAGAAGAAAGGTCTCAAGGGATCCCTGGGAAGATTCTTCAGTAAAAAAGATAAAGTTAGGGTCAGTACTTGAACATTGTTTTTTTTTCAATTTGGATCAAACATTATCAATATCAGAGCTTTGAGTAGGAGTCTAGCTAAAATTAGGAACACATATAAGTTGTGAGTCGTTATACAGGGTATCCCTAAAGTTTCTTTACAATTGAAAGAGTTAAGAAATGTTATGAACTTAATGTTTACAAAGGATTGGGAATGAGGTTCATTCATATTGAAAGTGTCTTTTTATATTGAATTGTCTTGTTTACAGGTTAAATCCCGTGAAAATGTCGCCAAAGAACTGTCGCTGTCAGCCGCCTCAACCTCTGGAGATTCAGATCTGCTAATGAGCGATGGAGGAATAGGGATGGGTCTTGGAAAACAGTCAGAGTTTGATAGGCGGAAAAAGAAAAAGTATGTCTGCCTCTCTTTGGATATTCTGATCATTTTAATTTTAATTTGAAACTCATTTCATTTCATAAAATCGACACTACATGAAATATTGTGGTTGTTCATTTTCTTTCATAATCATAAAAACTCATTTTAAACAGAACATATATTGCCTTGTTTCATGAAGACTACCTCATTGTCATAACCCATAGAACACAGAGACAGTTTCCCTTTCCATTCCCTAAATACAAACCGTTCAGCCAATCTCCTCCTTATGTCTCCACCAAACTATAGAGGAAGATATATTGCCTCGTTTCATGAAGACTTTATACCTTATTGTCATAACCCATAGAATACAAAGACAGTTTCCCTTACATTCCCTTTACAAACCATTCAGCCAAACTCCTCCTAATGTCTCCACCAAGCTATAGAGGAAGATATATTGGCTTGTTTTATGAAGACTTTATACCTCATTGTCATAACCCATAGAATACAAAGACAGTTTCCCTTTCAATTTCCTTTACAAACCGTTCAGCCAAACTCCTCCTTATGTCTCCACCAAACTACAGAGGAAGATATATTGCCTTGTTTCATGAAGACTTTATACCTCATTGTCAAAGCCCATAGAATACAAAGACAGTTTCCCTTTCCATTCCCTAAATACAAACCGTTCAGCCAATCTCCTCCTTATGTCACCACCAAACTATAGAGGAAGATATATTGCCTTGTTTCATGATGACTTCATACCTCATTGTCATAACCCATAGAATACAAAGACAGTTTCCCTTACATTCCCTTTACAAACCATTCAGCCAATCTCCTCCTTATGTCACCACCAAACTATAGAGGAAGATATATTGCCTTGTTTCATGAAGACTTCATACCTCATTTTCATAGCCCATAGAATACAGAGACAGTTTCCCTTTCCATTCCCTTTACAAACCGTTCAGCCAAACTCCTATGTTGCCACCAAATTATAGAGAAATTGCCATCTCATGTTGCATATGTCTTCTGCATGCAATTAGATCTAGTGTTCACTGGTCATATAGAGAGCTGCAGCTGCATCACAGAGCTATGAAGTCCAAATATCGTTGGTAAATTGCCGGCAAAAGACCATGGTGGTTAGTCATACATACTGATTGTTTCATCAAAATTCATTCAAACAACCAATGGATTTGTAACTTAAAACACTCAATTCAAAATTGCTTTTTTCATGTATACAGTACAAGTTCCATTTATAGTGCTTGGAATGCCCCATGTCTGGAAATGCCCTATATCAGGGAATGTTCCATGTCTGGGAATGCTCTGTATCTGGGAATGTCTCTTTCTAGGTTTGCCCTTATAATACATCTAGTTGCTTTATTTATTAGGAAGTCATGACTACCACCATGAGCATTTGCATATTTAAGAGTGTATACATACGGTACTAGATACAGTATCATATTCTCATCTCTTAGAAGAGACCTTAGGCTTGGTTAGTTGCATGTCTCTTGTAAATCTGGAAATATTCTAGAACATATATCTGACTCTGACTCTGCCTTTTGGAAGAGGTATCTTGGACATCTTGCTGATCTGAGAATCATTCACAGAGGAAGTGGCGAATGGGCTTTATGTATCATAACTGTAGTATCTTAAAGCGTATCTTATATGTAAGGGGTGCCACATATGTCATAAGACATCAAAAAAGGCTTAATGGGGTTCTGGTGGGCCCTTGTGGTGTTATATATGTTTATTGATATAAAGCTGTAGTTCCAATTGGGGATTATTCAGATGACATAGATTATAGGACTTTTTAAACAGCTATTAACAAAACTGGACAAAGGGTACTTGTAACCTATGTGCAAAGCAAATGTTTGTGTAACTTCAGTTTTTTTCACTGTGTAAGGTATATGTCATGTCATTGTGTATTGTAATCCATTTATTGTATTAGTTCATAAACTGTTGTAATTATTATGTCACCATCACATGTTGACACACCAGGTATTGTTATGCAATCGGTGCTTGGTGTTCGGTGTCTGTAACTGGTAACAGCATACAGCTGTCTGTGTGTGTAACAAATGCTAGGTGGTGAAATTTTGCATGTTAATGTTAATGTTTTTTGCGATCTGTACAATATTTTGAATTCTCTTTTTCCCATTGTTACTTTTTTCTATATTTTCAGGCATGAGTTACTGGAAGAAGCTATGAAAGCTGGAACCCCATTTGCCCTGTGGAATGGACCTACTGTAGTCGCCTGGCTAGAAGTAAGTCTTGTTGCATAAAGGCATATGTTGGTGAATTAAAGGGGTTAATATGGGTGGGAAGAGGGGTTAATGGGATTTCAGAACAATTGATAAGCATTGATGACAAAATTTAACTTTTGGAAAAGGTATTGGAATCAAGCTTGCTAAGAGGATAGTTTATGTAACTCTCATTCAAATCTCATATTTCATCTAAATATTTCTTGCTTGTAGTTGTGGGTAGGTATGCCAGCCTGGTACGTAGCTGCATGTAGGGCTAACGTCAAGAGTGGCGCCATCATGTCAGCACTCTCCGACACAGAAATCCAGCGAGAAATCGGAATAAGCAATCCACTACATCGGTTAAAGTTACGACTAGCAATCCAAGAAATGGTCAGTCTGACCAGTCCATCAGCTCCAAAAACCAGCAGAACTACTTTAGGTAAACTAAACCAGCCACAGGAATAAGATACTCAAATGAAATGAAAACTCTTCTTCAATATTTTTGGCTCATATTGAAGTGAAACCACTGTTGCAATTTATTTTTTATGCACACTATGTGTGCATATACTATATCTAGGCATGAAAAGGGAGGTACCACAATCCCATGCTTTCTTGAGACAGCAAATTTGACTGATGGGAGCATACAATTTGATGTTATAAAACACATTTATTTGATTTCTAAATTGGTTTAATAGTGATGTTCAGTCCTAATAATACCATTGTATTTCCATATTTCACCATTTTGGTGTAAACAGATTTTCGAAAAGGATTATATATCATTTTAGATTTTCAACAAAGTCCTGGTTGTGTCTAATGCTTGTGAGACCACTGCTTCATTTCAAACAGAATATCACAGTGTCTGATTCAAGAATGCACACAAGTGTTTTACAGCGCCCTCTTTATTCAATGTTTCAGCATTTGGTGAGATGAACCATGAGTGGATCGGCAATGAATTTCTCCCGAGTTTGGGTCTACCTCAATATAGAAGCACCTTCATGGAATGCCTTGTCGATGCCAGGATGTTAGATCATTTAAATAAAAAAGACACTCGAGGACAATTAAAAATGGTTGATAGTTTCCACAGGTAAATAAACGAGTGTTGAAACTTGAAATATTCAGATTGACACAATATCACACATATGAACGATAAGAAAAGGTTTCTTCAGTTACTGCCTTTACTGATACTACATGTACTTATTATTTTGGACATATCTCCTCCATCCTACATTGATATATGCAGCAGTTGCTAAACTGAATTATAGTTGTATTATATATTTTGTGAAATTATTATGCTGTAAATGTTACATTTCTGTTTGTCTTTTTCAGAACCAGTCTCCAATATGGTATAAATTGTTTAAAAAGAGTTAATTATGATAGAAAGGAATTAGAGCGGCGGAGAGAAGACAGTAATAATGATATGAAAGGTAATATATTGATAGGAAATATATTAAACAGACTTATATTTGTTATGAGAATGTTTCATATCGGTAGAACATAGGATCCTTCTTTCTGTTTGGACAACATTTATGCCAAAAATATAACCCAGTGCAGGACATAAATTTTTTAACTTTTCGTCCACACATTCTGATTTATTTAAGAGTGACATGTGGATACTATATCTAGTATATTAAAGTCCAATCACGATTTTGGCTGATGGCAGCAAAATGGCAGCCAAATTTATATGTATTCTTTTACTTTTTTGCTATAACTGGAAAGGTAGTGGAGCAATGCTTTATTGATGAAAATAAATTTGTCATATACCATCTCTCTAGGTCAGAATCTCTGTTACTTAAAAGTATTGTGCCAAGTAAATAATTAACTCAATATATAACATGTTAAAGTAAATGCCCTTTAATTTTCAGATGTGTTAGTATGGACTAATGATCGTGTAATAAAATGGGTGCAATCAATAGGACTTAAGGAATTTGCGAACAATCTCATAGAATCGGGTCTCCATGGAGCATTGGTTGCTCTAGATGAGGGTTTCGACCACAACAGCATGGCATTAGCTTTACAAATTCCAACCAGTAATACGCAGGTACGATTTAAGATTTTTCTGATTTTTATTTGGTTTCAAAACTTTTGGACAACTGTTTGATTGATAATTCTGGTTCAACATTGTAAGTTGAAATATTGGTATGAATGATGTACATTATTTACATTTTCTTGGTAAATGTCTTTTCTTACATTTAAACCATTTTTAATACATCTCTCTGCTAAATAGCTCTTGATTCAATATACAGTGTACTTGTTAATTACATGTACAAATTAGCCATCACCGTAGTTGCATCTTATTTATGAAAAGCTTGTATCTTTTGTGTTCTGTAACATTTTAGAATCGTGGAACTTTGGAGCGTGAGTTTAACAACCTTCTAGCCCAGGGAACGGATAGACGCCTCGATGAGGTAGGTGCGTTACCTTTTAGTTATTTTTAGTTCAAGCATGGTTATTTCAAGGGCAGTGTTTCTTTAGCACATGCCTATATTTATGTTTTTTCTCTTCGTCCTATTCAGTCTATTAAAAATGAGTAAGATCATGTCCATTAGAGAACCACTGCCCTTTGAGATCTCTCATATGAAAGATGATTGCAGAATCTCCTTAAAATCGCATTCACTCTGCCTATTTTTTTTTTTTTTGACTTGATATTCAGATAATTAATCATACCTGAAAAAGGTACAATATTGTCTGATAATAAAAAAGAGGGTAGATGGAAGAAGAGGTTTTTAGTTCAAAACTACCTGTGTTGAATAGCTGTCATCTATTGTACTCTGTTAAACCAAATTACTTTATTTTTCTCTGTAATCTATAATTTCAGGGTGATGGCACAAAGTTGAAGCGGGCGCCATCATGGCGGAAGAAACTCAAGACAAAAGATGGCATTGTAGGTAAAGTACCCGGGGGGAAGTCAATGTCGACGGAGGACTTGAACTCTAGTTACATGGACAGTATAGACCCTCCCAACCAGGACAGTGCTATACCCAGACCAACTGAGAGAACTTATTCATGTTAGCACCAAATATGGGCAAAAGCTCCAAATATGGGCAAAAGTTTCAAATAAGGGCATGTGGTCCAAATATGGGCAAAGGCCTCGAATGAGGGCTGCTCAGCAATGTAGGAAATTAGGAAAATCACTCATGATGTAGTCATTCATGTAGAATGTAGTTCCGAGTGGCCAGGATATACTAACCTTGAAACAAAAAACTGCAGTGATGTGAATTAAGTGGAGCAGAAATGAAATGCTGGTCAAGTGCTCCACATAAAAGGAAGATATATGTGAGGATTGGAAGTGTTGCGCTACAAATGTGTCATCCATTATACGGGATACATAAATATAATGAGACACTTCATTCTTATATTTAAGAATTCAAATCAGGTGAAATACCCATGACCGCACAATGAAATATTTCCTTCGCGAGGAATGAACAAGATTTTTGTGCAGTTAAATCAAATCTATGAGATGCAATATAGGAAAACAGGATATCGTATACAAAAAGGATTATACGAAAATTAGAATTATGATAATAACAGGATTAGAAGAACGCAGGATTATGAAAGATAGAGGTCACAAGTATATATTATATAGGCAGTGTTCAATATTAACTACTTATGTAGACAATCAATGAAGGAAAGAAACAAGACAGCTGGCTCTGAGGATTACATGAAAGCCACCAAGGTGTTCAAATTGGGAGGCCGTCTGCTTTCTCCAATGCATTATCGGTATTTAGAAAAAGTCTTCATATTATCTATTTTAACCAATGCAAATACATTTCGGGAAGTCTCAAGCACTTGGTTTACCCGTGCACACTGGTTACTTTAGCTGGGCTGCATTTTACTATTTATTTACCTGGCAGTTATGGGTATGTTAGAAAGTTTACTAAAATGTCTTATCCATTGATATATTTAATCAAATAGGGCAAATGGCAGAAAGAATGAATCATATATTTAAACTCCAAAGGTATTATTATATTATATTGCTATAGGGACATTGGAGAAGAAAAGTGAGTGTAATAAAAATGAATTATGGAAAAAATCATGTACATGACTGAATGTTTTAATAAACTTTGCATTGTCCCATAATGGGGATTAGTCACTTCTTAATGGTGCCTCCACCTATTGGCTTGAACTATGTGTTGCCATAGTAACCAGTGACAAGAAATCAAGTCTTAGTTATTCATTCTCCACATGCAGATCATACCTCCTTATTAGGAGTTGCTTCATAGTTGAGCTTAAGTGCTGTATGTGGGGAATGTTAGTGTTTGTTTAGCATGTGTAGTTTGTAGGAAACAACTGGAGGTTGTGAATCGTGAACAGGTGATTTAAACAGTCATGTATTGAAGACTGGTCATTTTGAAATGTTCCCAGTGTAAAATATCTACCTAGTCATGTTTTTATCATGTTGAGTAATTGGAGAGACTGAAATCATTTTTTAAGAAGTCCAAAATTGGGGTGTATATCTCAGAAAATGATACATTTTTAAGAAGTCGAAAATTGGGCTGTATATCTCAGAAAATGATACTACATTATTATGAGTATTACACAATTATAAAATTATAAAGACTGAAGTAATTATGAGTAGAGAGATATTTTACATGGTTAAGTTATGTACAATGTATTTATTCTATTCAATATGTATGTACCGTGGTGTACACATAGTTGCCACAAGTAAAGTGTTATGCATATATGTGGCATACAATGATATTGTATAATGTCATACACTGGCATTTTATCATGTCATACACTGACATTGTATCAAGTCATACACTGACATTGTATCATGTCATACACTGACATTGTACCATATCATACACTGACATTGTATCAAGTCATACACTGACCTTGCATCAAGTCATACACTGACATTGTATCAAGTCATACACTGACATTGTATCATGTCATACATTGCCGTTGTATCATGTTGTACACTGACCTTGTATCAAGTCATACACTGACATTGTATCATATGGCATTCTGGCATTGTATCATGTCATACACTGACCTTGTATCAAGTCATACAATGACATTGTATCAAGTCATACACTGACATTGTATCATGTCATACATTGCCGTTGTATCATGTTGTACACTGACCTTGTATCAAGTCATACACTGACATTGTATCATATGGCATTCTGGCATTGTATCATGTCATACACTGACCTTGTATCAAGTCATACACTGACATTGTATCATGTCATCCACTGACATTGTATCATGTCATACACTGACATTGTATCATGTCATACACTGACATTGTATCAATTCATACACTGACATTGTATCATGTCATACACTGACATTGTATCATGTCATACACTGACATTGTATCATGTCATACACTGACCTTCTATCAAGTCATACACTGACATTGTATCATATGGCATTCTGGCATTGTGTCAAGGTGTACACTGTTGTTGTATAATGTATTGTACATGCACTTGTATAAAGCAGTTTTATACAGTAAATATATCTTGTTGAACTTAATATATCAGAACAATACTCCTAAGGCGACTTTCATCATTTGTTATTTGTTAAGTTTCTATTGTACATACATGCAGGAAATTTTACTATGATCATGTTCTCCACGTTTGCCTCTTAATAACATATTGAAAGATTTGCATTTTTATTCAACTCAGTTTTGAATACGAGGCTGTTGGGTTTTGATTTCATACTGGTGTTTCTGAATTTCCACTTACAAAGCTCATTGTTTTTATTTTTAAATGGTTGTTATATGGGATGCAAAAATATGGGAAATTGTTATATGAATGCATGTTTTAAGAAATGCATGTAAAACTATGGCACATGTTCATTTCCATTTCAAGAATAAGTGAAAGAGTAAATCAAATTTTGAGTTAAATTACACAAAAAAACTGCATTCTAAACTGAAAAAAGTGTGAAATATCAGACGCTTCATTAAGCCAAGATATATTGTGGAATGATATGAACATAATAAAATTTGTCTGTGAACAGATATGAACTTGATAAAATCATAAACTGTACTATCATTGAACTAGATGACCAAATTGTTTACATATTATAATGCTAGACAATTTTAACTCATAAACATAATGGTCATATTGCAATCCCTAGATAATGAATAAATAACTGAATAAAGTATAAACTTTTCTAATGTTCACTAATATTATAAAATGCCATGGTAACAGGTGAGCGATGTTATTTCCAATGGCCAATATGGGATGGATCAGAAAATCAACAAGGGGTGGCAATTTTTCTTCAAAAGTTTCTTCCTGAAAAGATTTCGAAATTTAGGCCGAGTTGTTTAAAAATTGGCCCATATTATCAAGGCAAAATAAGGCCCACTTTCATCATTTTCTGAAAATCCAGGTTCACTTTTTGAAAAATCGAGGCCCAGATTTTCAAATGGCTTATTTTCTTATATAAGGCCTATATTTGAAAATTGAAGACTTATAGGGAGATAAGTTATGAAAAAAATTAGAAAAATGACAAAAATAAAAAAAATAGAAAACTTTACTGGGTATAGGATAAAGCAGCTGTGTATGGTCAGTTTGGATATGGGGTTTGTCCCTTCAGTCCTTACAGTCACTCACAAAGATAATGATATGCATATCTCCCTATATAGGATAAACCCCATATCCAACACCTTCCAGTACATAATCCTTATTTATAGCTTGTCTTATAAGGTCCATGGGTGAATTTCTGTTTTTCAAAATAGTAGTTTCAAAGTTTAACTTATCTATTTTTCAAAATTTATTCATCCACACAGGTTGGGTTGACCAGAAAGCTGAAGAAATAAGCAAAGAAAACAACAGAAACGCTATTCTTCTAAATCCACAAGTATATTTTCTAATGGAATGTATGTTAAAATACTGAGAATCTACAGAACATGCAAGGTACAAATGTATATTCAAGTGTCCATTTCCATTTGTTAACATGCCTTTATTTTCGCAAAGTTAAATTTTGCTTGTAGACAAATTGTTTATTAATTATTTGTAGTATTACTATAATACTATACTTAGTATTAATATCTAAGATTATCCTTCAGAAATGTAATTGTCTTTGCTAGAACTACAACTTGATTTACAAATCATCAGCAGATAAGCAAATAAAAAATAAAAAAACGGTTCCATCTGGTTCCTGGAGCATGCCTAAAATCTCAAATATTATCTTGCAACCAGGAGTTTTCATTCACACCCCTATTGACTCTTCAACTTACTCAGCATTCTTGGCTATATATAATAATAATTATGCCATTTTAGGATCGATTATCCAATTGATTGTTGAATCCCCAATTATTGAAACATTACAAAAGAAGTTGCAGCAAAATAAAAATATGAATGTTATATGTATATATTTGTATAACATGAAACTAATGAATATTGAAGCATGTATTATGTAATATACTGGGTGTCCAAAACGTTTTGCGAATTTGTAACCCTTTTTCTGATAATGATTTCACAGGAATGAGAATTATTACCAAAGTAAAAAAAGCATATATAATTGGTTTATGTTATATACATGATTTTCATTTTAAACTATTTGTTGACATGTTAAAAGTTATGTGTCTATTCTTTTGAACAGATAGGCTGTTGATACCTCAACTGTGTTCTGTTTAAAATGTTCTCCTTCAATGTAGCACTCTCTTTTGCTCCGTGTCTCTCCAGCTTCATACTTCTGAGAATCCGTCTTATTTTTTATCATGGTAAGAGAGAGATGTGAGATAAAGATTAAGGGCTAGATCTTCTCCTCCATCCTTTGTCTGGAACGATCTCCTGCAACATGGGCATTGAACTCTGGAATGATTGCCGGAATATTGGGTCACCTTGGCCTCATTGTAGCACGAAGGGCATCTAAATGCCGCCTGTTGCAATCCTCTAAGTTTACCCATGAATTCGTCTGCTTTCTTAGCTCCATATCTGGCAAATGCATCTCTTTCTGATTGCCAGAGGTTATCAAGTGTCCAGAATACATCAATAAATTCCAAACCAAGGACATCTGCACTCGACACTCGGAAAAAGCCATCATCGGCGAATTCACTTCCCCATGAGTTCATGAGTCGCAAGCCATCACTATTGTAACTTGTAAGAACAACGGCATGTCCACCAAGTTCAGCACCATGCCATCTTTGTCTGATGTCCAAATCAGACCTAGAGAGTATACCTCTCGGGTTTGCTCTATAAAACGCTGAGAACAATTCCCACTCCGGTTCAGTAAGACGGAATCTAGCGACCACTGGACGCTTTTCAGTAATCGCTTTCATAGCGGCGAGTACATCATTACCGAGATTTTTACACTGGAGACGACATTTCGGACAAAAAGCCTGCAACACTTGTAATGTGTTTGCTCCATCTTTGCCATATCCCGTAATGATTTTATCCCTCAGATCAATAAATTCAGGATACCCTCCCTCACGACCAACAATACGATGCATCGAGAGGTGCATAACAGCAGCTGAAGCATTCGCGTAGCAAGTCCCATCCTCTTGTCTCTGGGCTGCAAACCCAGTCAAAGCACGGGGGTCCTCTTTTGGGTTGCATTTGTTGACGTACACATCCAAGGTGACTGATGCTAAAGCATCTGCTAGAGCATCCTGGGAACAGACCACATTCCTTGCCAAGTCACAAACATCATCTATGGTATCTGGGTGATTCACTTGGCAAAAGAGCCTCGTCTCATTGTTGGTGATATCAACCGTCCAGCCTCGCTTCACGAATATTGTACGTGGTATGTTCTGTGTTGTGATTGTAGAACTCATCCTAAACATGAATTTAGCCCCATCGTCCCACTCAACATTCTCAATACTGTACAACCGGCGAGGATCAAAAATGTTTCGGTCAGTTATGTAACAGCATACAATCTTCACACCTAATTCTGAAAGCTCTCTCAGTGGTGGATTGTATCCATCAGTGGGGAGGCCATCGGAAAGGATGAACAAAAGCTTATCGTGCCTCTGAAACCGAGACATGGCAAATAGTTCTGTTGATTGCATCATTGCCTGCATTAGTGGAGTACGACCATAAATATGTGGCTCAACAGTTTCCATAAGCTCATCGACCCTTTTGTCTGTTAATTCTTCTTCACCTTTGCAGTCATGTAAAATGTCCCATGCTTCTTGCACCGGAATTACAGACATTACGCTCACATTCAATATATCCAATGCATCCTTGGCAAGTTCCATCCCTTTATCTATTGCCTCTCTAATTTCTCGTTCAGTTTTCTGATGTTGATAATTGGCATTTTGGTCCTCAAAATAATTTTCTTTCGTTTTTTCTTTTACATGTTTGCCTGCTGCACCAACTGCAGCACCTATTAGACTGGCAGCAAGTAAGCCAACAGGCCCAGTAGCAGCACCAAGGAAATAACCTGCAGCTATTCCAAAACCACTGCCAAATGTGGTGTTGGCAGGTGTCACTTTGACTTCCCTGCATTCTTCTGGAAGACATTCAAAGACAAACCTCCTTTTGAAATCAGACCCTTCTGATTTAAGCATGTGCAATACCATTGCAACCTCTGAATATTTAACACAATCAAGTAGCACATGCATTTTTGCCCATGTACGAACTCTTGGTGCCCCACTATTTTCAAGAATTGTTAATGTTTCTTCCAAGAGATCTCTTTTGCTACGAATGCTCTCTTTGTATGGAGGCGAAGCCTTCTTAACAGTGTTTAACAGATCCAAAGGAGTTTCCTGTTTGCGAGCACCGACTCCTATTGCAAACACGTTGTTAGATGATGACACATCATGCTTTATCAGTTTATCCACCACGTTGAATATGGACCGTGCCCAACTACCACCCTTTCCATTTGCCTTTCCACTGATAGACCGCTTCATGGACCCAGAAACATCGACTATAATACCCGTCAAGACAGACATGCTCTCCTTGTTATGGTTTACTGAAACAAAAAATTGACTTAATTGAAAAAAGAAGCAATATGATTTCTATCTTGGAAAGACTAGCAGTGATGATGCAAAATTATGTAAGTCATCAAAAAATTCTAAAAATTTTACAAATCATCAATTTAATAGTCATCTTTTGAATGGTAACAATATAATTTGAAAAGAAATATACTTTTCTCTATATTGTTTTAGAAAACACATCAGACACTTCTTTTGTTCTTGGTATCATATGTTCGGAATGAGATGAAACATCTTTCTGAACCTCATTGGAACAAAATGACTAAACACAATGTGTTTAGGTCTTTCAATATTGTAATTGTACAAAGGGAATTTTGGTTGATTTTAAAAAAGCATCTTGTTAATGAAATAAAAGGTTTATCTTAATTTTAATCTATTTTGGGGATTTTGTTTTAATTTTTTGGATACTCTTTCTAAAACCAAAATTTCCTTTGTATAACTATAACATTGAGAGGTCTAAGGAAATGTTGTATCTGCAATTTTGTTCCAACAAGGTTCGGAGAGACATTTTATTTCATTCCCAAGTATTGGTAGAAAGGAACAAAAAACAATTGTACTAAAAAACAAAATGTTAACAAGAACATTTGTATATAATATATTTAAATAATTTTCTCATTAAATTGTTGTCAATCAGTCAACATTACATAAAGGAGAATGTTTTCAATAATTGGTTTAAAGGCCCCATATAAAGTTTAAAGCACTTTGGCTTATATTGTAGTCTTACCCAATGTTATCAAAGTGTGATATGTGAAACTTTTTGTTTTAATTTCAAAAAGAGGTTTTTGATAGACTTTTTGTTCCAAAATTTGTGAATTTATTTCAAACCAACTTTTAGAGGTCACTCATATCTTCTAATTAGCCACAATTCATACCAATGTATAGCATTCATCCTTCCATGTTTTTTGCCGAAAAAATTAAGAAAATCGGTTCATAAATAAGCAAGAAATGAACTTATCAGTGCATGAAAATGGTTCTGAGAAAAATGCATTTCAAAATTTCAGTTCTCATAGAAACCAATGGTACAATGATATCTAAAACATTATTTATTCTTCCTTTTAACCTGGTTAGACAATCAACATTGGTTTTTTTGAAAGTCTAACATATTTAGAAAAGATTGACATCGAAAAAAAAATTTCAATTTTTTCAAAAAGTTTTTGGTACCTTAGTGACATCACTAATGTTTCAAAATATTTTTGATATGCTAAAACATTGAAGTGGCCCATTAAATATGGCATTTTATTATTGAAATAGTGTGTCCTTTGTTCAATCTTTGCATTGGTGTAAAAAAGATAATCTTTTTTGAAACGCATTTAGAAATATTTGATGATTAAGAAATTTCAATATTTGAGAAATGAAATGTTCACAACTTTTTTTTCAATTTTTTTTTTTTGTTCAAAAATCTCTAAAATCACTTTTTAAGTCCTGACAAATAGTTAATGATTAAAAAATATTTTCAAACTTTAGACGGAGACTTTAAGAGAAAAACATTGTTGAATTCAGTTCGCTATATCGATACCTATCCTTTAATGACCAACTATACAAATATTTAATTCTGTTGAGGTGAATACCTGTGTATCCAAATTAAAATTTTGTTTTATTGTTCAGTTGCATTCCTTACCTACATTAAACATTAATGAAACGTGTAGTCCCAGAGATATATAAAATTTAAATTACGCTTGATTAAGTCTAACTGGTGAATAGTGTAACAAATTTTTCAACGACCCTAGACAGGAAGTTGCTACTACAGCCCAGCTGGAGTGGCTTACGCCTTTATAGCTCAGTCGGTAGAGCATCATGCTTGGGGTCCAAGGATCCTAGGTTCAATTCCCACATGGGGCATTGAATTCAGCACATTTTCATTCAATTTCTTTATCTCGCTTGTTAAACTATGCTCCTTAGTAAGCCTTTCCCCTGAGGCATCCTCGGGTCATTACAATATCATTTGATAGTAATGTGACTTCCATTGAATATCGCTTCATTGTTATTATAGTCATGTGTAGGGCATAGACCAATCAGAGAGTGAGGAATATGACAGTGATAAAATAGTAATAATGCCCTTTATGTTATATTATATAGGTATATTTATGCACTTTTTGTGCAAAACTGAAAGTGTAAATCAGATATGATTGTACACCTCCATTTGTACAATTTGAAAGAAATTGACACATAGCTAGTAAAATGTTGAAACACTTACTTTGTAATTCCATGGTAATGTTTGAAGCTATAATGTCTGAAATATAATGAGAAAACTATGATGTAAGTTGAGATAAGGTTATGCAAATACATAGGCCAAGTAATTATTTATCTAGTACTATGTTCGTCTTGTTGTCTAAAAATGCTGTTCTCAGATATTGCTATTCCTTATCCGTTCCATATTGCACATTTACTTTTAGCTGAATTTTATGTGCTTGTTATGAAGTCATTTATTCCATATATCATGAAGTTGTTTACCTGGATTGAATTTGGACATGGCAAGCATCATAATTCATTTATGGTTCTGATTCACTTACCTCCAGCTTTTTGTTTATCACAATCTTTTGTCCTGCAAATGATTTTGATATCTCTAGATGAGATTGTATTTCCCAGAAGTACATGTAATTGCTACAAGCTTAAAAAAGTTCAAAGTGAAAGTAGTATCCGTTTTGCTCAGGTGTTTGCTAATTGTTCACTTTGTCCACTGTTTATTTTCCCGTCGATGTGCTTGAAGTCTAAATCAATTTGCCATATAAAGTGATCTTGTCACAGTGATCGAGAATATTGAAATCTGAGAGATTCTTGAGACAGCGTCTCGACTTCTTGGCAAAACAAACCATAGGGGAATCCCCTTCACAATTGCCATTATGTAAAGAGAAAAATTATCATTGAAGAAGAAAATTATCCCATCATTCATTTCAGTTACACTGGGCCACGTGACTGATAAGGTAGTTTGGTGTGGAGATGCGTGTTGAGCCAGGCGAAGTGGTGACGGTATTGAGATACCCTTGGCGAAACATAGGATGAAAATTCAATTAGACTGGGAACCAATCAAATGAAGAAGCTTAGCGCAATTGAGTAGAGAAAAAATTAAATTGTTATTGTGCAGTTGTGAGAAACTATTGTAGATAGCTTCGTCTAACTCTATTAGAACAAGATGTGATCCATTTAAACACTGGGGCATTTGGTCGATAGTATATAGGTCTAATGGTGCTATGAGAAAAGGTTTACATATCATAGAATTGTAGGTAACAAGTTTAGCTGGACTTCCCGGAAATAAAATTTTAGATTAGATTAGTCTAGCCTATTTTGTATCATAAACATTGTGATCATGAATCATTATTTTTATTCTAACTATTGTATTTACTTAAGTCACAATCACATGATGGTAATGTGACCGAAATCAAGTGTAAGCACACTTTATCATGAAAGGTTTATATAACTAGACTTGTTTCAGATATCAGATCCTACTTCTATATGGTGGGTCCCAAAGGGAGCATCCGAGCCTCTTCTACTTGTACCACATCTTAAAAGTTGACCTTGGAGCAACTGATATTGGAGGAGGATTAGATGTTTAGGCAGTAGGTGTTTGATTGCACAAGACTGACCCAAAATCTTTAATCGTGTATGAGTATATCTCTGTAAGTAAAGCTATAAATCATCCTTTAATTTTGTTACTGATGTGGCTAGTTGTCAATACTCTAGGGCATTCATGGGTGTAGCGCCTATTACGCAAAATACACACAGGCGTACTAAATGAATTAAAAATGCATTAATTTATTTGCGAATTTATTGATGCTTCCTACCGTATCTGTATGTTTACCATTGTTTACCGTACCCCTGGAACCCTGCAATGCGCGGCCTTTCGGAGTGTTGCTACTCATTATTTACCTTTGAAATTTTGTTTTGTTACATACTATGGTCAGGTGTTATTTTTAATTTCATCTTCAAGTTACATATAAGAATAATTGGTAACTGGTCAACTCCTACCCAAGACAAGTCGTACCCAAGACAACTGCTACCCAAGACAACTCGTACCACCAAAGTATATATTTTGTTTTGAATCAAGCGTTGGACTGGGAATGTGAATAGATATACATATTATAATTGTAACATACTGTTCAGAATAGTTTAAAGTTTGAAGAAGAATTTTCGGAAGAAATTGATTTAATTTTGTGACATTTTGAGCTGAGTGTCAATTTATATTGACTATTATTTTATATTGGTCACAGATTCATGATAACATGAAAGCATTACAAACTCAGTTTTTTCCCTTATATCACGGACTTTTCTTCAGGTCCGTGCTTATATGCACCCATAATACTGAAAATAATCTTGGGTACGAGTTGTCTTGGGTACGAGTTGTCTTGGGGTACGAGTTGTCTTGGGTACGAGTTGACTAGGAAGCGAATAATTGACAAAGATATCATGTTACTTGAGTAAAACTAAGTAGTATGACAGGGACACTCATTGAGTATGTGAAAAAAACAGAAATATTATTCAGTGCTGTAAAATACATTACAGTTAACTATTTACTACGGTACCATTACAAGCGAACAATTGTACACCACTAAGAGGGAACAATGTGTAATCAAGGACTGGCCATCCTGCCCATTGCGTTAGGTAAGTAAAGTTATACTACACTGTAGTCTGTATACTTTTACTGATATCTTATCTAAATTCAACTCCACATTTGATAGCTTGAATTATTTGATAAAAGTTCATCTATTGTATACGAGATGTGGAAGTTTCTAATTTTGAAGTAAATGATTGATTAGTTGAATTCTTTGATATTTCTTGTTGATTGATTTATGTGATTTGATTAATCAAAAAGAATTTGATTTATCACCTGTATTTCACATTTATTCATCCTAGGTTTGCTAACATTTGCGACTGTCCTGACCACATACATCATAGCTCTTGTAAAAGGGGATGTGGAGGCTATATTTCCCTATATAAGGTACTATTATTATATAAAAAATATGCAACATATTTCTGGCTGGTATTGCCCATCAAGTTTCTTATGTATTCTAATATTATTTTAAGTTAACATTATCTAAAATGAGTCAAAATAGCAACTATAATAATATAATTAAGCCATTTGTTTTCTACATTTTTCATTGTGTGCTGTACATAAGTTTAGTATGTACAGCACAAGGGATGATCCAAAAGTAAGGTGACTGTATCTGCCATTTCAACATGTTGTAACCAATTTTTATTATGAAATTCTCAGGGAATGTGTATCATCCATTTTTGCATTGTAAGCTATAGTGTATTTATTGCATCAATATTTGTACCATTAATATCTCCCTCCCCCATCCCCCGGATCCGCCACTGTGCTTGAACATTTATATGTGGCATTTAACCAAACACAGATACATATTTACCACACATACGAGGGTTGATCCAAAAGTTCTCCACCGTTTTATCTAAAAAATATATTTCTTTGTGATTTTTGTTCAAACTTGGTCAGGAGCAACATGTATATGATAGCTTGGTATTGTATTAATATCATTGAAAAAATATAATATTAACTATGTCATTTGGTTACCATAGTAACAAGACAATGAGGTTGGTGGAGCTGAATAAAATCACTGTTTATCACAATTTCTTGTCAAACAACGTGGTATTATTACAGAGTTTTAACCAGGGGTTTTAACATTAATGAAGGCTTTTATTTGATGTAATATCAATGTTCATTCTCCCTCAAAATAGTCCCCACCATGAGCTATGCATTTATTGCATCGTTTTATCCAATCATCGAACACATCCCGAAGTCCATTCTTAGCGACTAAATACAAACTGTTGGTAAAAGCTTCAATCAGCGACTCATCTTCTGCAAAACGAATCCCACAGAGGGGCTTCTTAGCTTCAGGAAACATGATTGTGGAAGTCACAGGGAGCTGTATCTGGGGAATATGGGGGATGCTTGACAAGTTCTGCTTGTAAATGCTCATGTATAACTTCTGTTGACATTGTGATGTTAGCTCTGTGGGCAGGGGCGTTGTCATGATGGAAGTAGAAGCCGTCTGCAATAACTCTGGCCTCTTCTTCCTGATGGCATCTTTCAGATTCTTCCTTAGCAAATGAAACACATCGATTATGATACCTCAGTTCATTTTCTAGTATCACGAATAGACCCACATACATGTACATGACATATTGTATAACTCATGGAAAGCCATACTATATCAACTAAGACATCGAAGAAATCAAGTGTCCAAAACACAGGGTCCAAGTCAGGTCCAAAACCCGGGATTCACAACTTACCTTTGAATAATATGCAGAATTCACAGTAACTCCAGTTGGCACGGCGTGAACGAGGATGATTCCGTGGATGTCGAAAAAGACGATAAACATCAATTTAGATGCAGATTTCTGTACCTTTGCCTTCTTTAGCCTATCCAATCCAACTCCACAGTACTGGCTACGCTAAGAAGCACCTCCGTGGGATTCGTTTTGCAGATGATGAGTCACTAATTGAATGGACTTCGGCAATCGGCATGTGTTCAATGATTGGATAAAACAATGCAATAAATGCATAGCCCATGGTGGGGACTGTTTTGAAGGAGAATGAACATTGATATTGCATCAAATAAGAGCTTTCATTAATGTTAAAACACCTGGTTAAAACTCTGTAATAATACCACGTTGTTTGACAAGAAATTGTGATAAACAGTGATTTTATTCAGCTCCACCAACCTCATTGTCTTGTTACTATGGTAACCAAATGACATAGTTAATATTATATTTTTTCAATGATATTAATACAATACCAAGCTATCATATACATGTTGCTCCTGACCAAGTTTGAACAAAATTCACAAAGAAATAATATTTTTAGATAAAACGGTGGAGAACTTTTGGATCAACCCTCGTACAAGTGCGTTTACCACATATATGTGTACATAGATCAAAAGTATTTGTGTAAAATTAAATTGATTTATTACATGTTTCGAAATGTTTTGATAGAATGGAATGTCGAATGTCTGTAATTGAATATCAAATTGTAAAAATCAAATAAAGATGCAGAAAAAATTCAATAGAAAGCCACACTTTCAGTATTTCAGTATTTATTTCTGTCTAATAAGTGATTTGTGGTTGCTATAGTAACTAGTAACGTGAACACATCAGGAAGTGAATAATTACTGACATGTATCAAAAATTAGTTATTTTTTCAAGAACATATAAATACTTTTATTATCTTACAAAAATATATAATATACTACATGTTGCTACAGCAACAACAAAATGCTTTTTAGTCAGAATTGATGTTGAAATTTTGAGTCATTATGTATAAAGAGATAATCCAAAATTTCTAGAAATTTTCATGGGAATTGGTTGAAAAATGTTGAAATGGCTGCTACTTTTGGATCACCCCTTGTATTTGTACTAATAATATGTGTAATCTTACATGGATGATTTCTCCAATTTCAGTGACACTGGTACAATATCTCCTGAAAGTTGTATTTTTGGCCAATTCCTGAACATATCTGCTTTCTTAGGTGAGTAATGTGTCTTTTTTAAGTTGTACTGACATATTTTTTCTCTTCTCTTTTTACCAAATGAATTTTTCTCTTTCCTTTTCGGGCCATCATTTTATGTACTTTTATAAATCTTATTCAGGCCTGTTACCAGCTTTTGGCCAAGGGGTGCGCCCCATGGCTTTTTCTCCATGCGATTGCACCCTCTCCCGCAGAAAAAACATCTGGGCCCATAAATATTTTTGGACTCATAAAACCAAAAATCCAAATTTTAAAGATTTTAGGCCCATATTTGATAATTTGACTTAAAATCAAAAAATAATGCCCCAAAATGTAATGTAAATGTAAAAAAAAAAAATTCCTAAAAAGCCCACTAATTGGGGCCCTGTAAAATTTTTGGACCCAAAATATTTTCTCAGTCTGTCCAAGGAGGGCATAGGTCCCAAATAATGTAGAACCTGATGAACAAATGGCAAATGAATGAACACCAAGAAGTTTAAACATAAACTTAGCGGGAACTTCAAACAACACCAGTCAGAAGCTTGTATTTTTTTGTCATGTGATCACTACATACAATTTCAAAATGGGGGCAAAAATAGGTGAAAACAGAATTACACCAAAGAAACCAATCTTGGGAGATCTGGGGCTTCTGGGGATTTTTGCTCGATTTCTGGGGATTGCATCCTCCACACCCTCCTGGTTACAGCCCAGCTATTGCAGCTACTGTTCTTTAATATTTTACTGTGTGACTATAATACATCCCCTTGGATTCAGGTAACAGGTAATGTACCTGTTTGAAAGCTCCTTCTTTCAAAGGACCCCACAAGTTGTGCTTAGTAAATATTCTTTTTAAAGTTTTTGAGAAAATATTTTGAGCAACTATTACAAAAATTGCCTTTTCCAGTCAATGTGCTGTTGATAATTAAGTTTTGAGTTGTTGTTGGCTCACACAGTGAGCCTATGGGATTGACCAGGCATCTGTCCATCCGTTGGTCCGTCCATATGTCAACATTGGCCGCACAAATTAAAACTGCTATTCGGATTGAGTCATATCCACATTCATTTTATGCATATCCATAATGCCTATTTGACCTATCATCGCCATTTCCAAAGTTCGCCAAGTTTCGAGAAATGGCTGATTTTGACGTCAAATTTTCTGTAAATCAGGCCCGTAGCCAGGGGGGGTTCGCAGGGTTCGGGCGAACCCCCCCCCCCCCTGGCCAAAAATTCTTTCAAATCATGCAGTTTTTGACCATTTTGAGCACTTCTCAAGTGATTTTAGCCTAATTTTGGCCAAAATTGTCAAATGTGAACCCACCCCCTAGAAATTTTTGAAAATTGGCAAATCCTGGCTACGGGCCTGTAAATACTAGACACTTTAATGAAGTAGAACTTTCAAATAACTTGTAGTAGTTGCTGTATATGCAACTTATGTTCTCTGAAGATTTAAAAGCTCCTGAAATTACAGTTTTTGGTGTTTACTCTATAAAATTTGACAAAAAGTAGGACTTTGTCATGTTTATAAAGTCAATCATCATTGGCTGCACAAAACACCGTGTGAGCACAGGACCGTGGGTCCTTTATTTATTCATGGAATGTGAGACTAATTTATATTTCAATTAAAAAGTGAAATCTCATTCAGATATCAAAACCATCAAAAAGTCAAAATGTTCGCTATCGATATATTTTCTGACACCCTATCTAATGTATATTTTTAGTTTTACTGACAATCTACGTGCGTTACAAGCAAGTAACAGAGTATAACAAAGACGAAGATGCTAGACTCCGAGTACTCAGTCGCGTAGGCTTAGGGATTGGATTCTTCATAGCAGCAGGTCTCTCAATGGTGGCAAACTTTCAGGTTCGTAAGAAAGCACAATACTGTATGTACTTCAGAGACTTAATGCAAGACTAAATACTGTGCAAAACTTTGAAATGACACAACACATGTAACTTAAAGTTGGTTGCAATTCATTAGGCCTACTTAATTATTTTCTGTGCTACAGAGTATAACTGTACAATGCATTTTAACTTGTGAACTTGTTTCAAGTTTTTCCAAAATGGAACTATAGGTATATTTACAATACTCTAGAGATAAATGCATGCATTTAAATGAATTTGTTACAAGGTCTGGATAGAATTCCAGTTTACACTCTGGTTTATTATGTCACCACCACAAGTGGTGACATATTGTTATCATGTCACCAACACAAGTGGTGACATATTGTTATCATCAGTTATGGAATCCAACTTTTTTGTGGACAGTGTTTGGTGGTTGATATTTGGCATTCGGTGGTCAGTGTGTGTAACAAATGGCAAGTGGTGACATTTTGCATGTCAATGCCTTGTGTTCTTTTTGTTGATATCGAAAATGTACAAATGAATTCCATTCAGATACTGTGTATAGTTTGATATGTTTCATTACATTACATTTTTATCATTTTAGGAACTTGTAATAGAGCCAGTCCACCTTACAGGGGCCATGTTGGTGTTTGGTGGGGGTGTGTTGTATGGCCTTCTTGACTCATCTGTGTCGTATCGTATGCACCCAAGCCGTAATGGCATATATATATGTAGGGTTAGACTCACTCTATCTCTTCTTGCCTTGATATTTTTGATCACAAGTATCCTTTGAAATTCCACGAACATAAGGTAAAAGGTATGTTGAACCTTACCTCTTTAAACCAGTGTCTTATTTTATTTGTTCTTTTTGACATCCTCTTAACAAACATCCAGTGGTTGTAATTACATGAAGTTAGCAAATATATTGCAAAGTTCATTTATCAGTCAATGTCAATGATACTAGCAGACTATTGCCTGTGTATGAAGGCCAGTTGTCAACTTTATAATCAATAATATCCCTTGAAATAAATGTCTACTGGCTTGGAAAAGCAATTTTTCCCTCCAAATAAATGCCCATCCCGTTTAGAATTGTTTCTTTAAAAAGACCACTGGGCATTCATTAAGAATACTTTCAAATAAATGCCCAAATCAAAGTAAATGCCGGTGGACTAGTCAGGGGAAATTCTGGTACCCAATCAAAAAAGTAATATAAACTGAATTAATGATTTCATAATGCAACTCTCATTAAAGGCAATGCCAGCTTCTCTTTGGATCATTTAGATCTTATCACCATCAACACTGTACATGTATATATATATTTCTCCTATTTATAACCCAAGGGACATATTATTTAGTGCCCAGTAACCTAATTTTGAAGACAAACCATTGAGTTGAAAGGAATTTTTGCCCAAGATGTGTTCACATGTAATCTTTCGGTTATTCATATAATAGCAGGTGTGTGAAATTCATGAATTCACATGTAATATATTGTACCAGTACTTATTGTTGCATTGTATTGTTGTAATACACATATTGTTCCTTAACAGTTGTCAGCATTTGTAGCAGGTGTTATATCCAGGGAGGCATGGTCAGGTCTGAAGGAACATGACCATAGGAAACTGCATTGGAAACCCAATGACCCAGTAAGAATACTTTAAATGATAAGGAAATAATGTAGATTAAGGTTAATTTTTAATTTTATTCTACCGAAATTAATTAGAGATTGATCATACTACATATGGTATTATGGATAGTTAGGTTGGTTTGTTGGTTAGTTTTCCTTTGTGGATTATTGAATATCTGATTCCATTGAATTGCATGGACTCCATATTAATTCTCATTTGACACATTGTAGTCTTGCACTTTGTGATCGGTTGAGCTGGGAGAGAAATAATAAAATTTCTTCTATTCCTAGGGCTATGCTGCACATATCACAAGTACAACAGGCGAATGGTGTCTCGCAATATCATTCCTGCTATATTTCTTTACCTACATAAGAGACTTCCAGAAATTCCACATAGAAATCAAGGGCCATTGTTTGGCGCAACACTTAGATGAAGAGGTGTTTATTGAACAGACGATTCATGGACCAACAGAGACAAGCCGCCTCCTTGCTTAACACAAATTAGAAATTGGAGCAAAAATCATGATTCATGCTTTAATGCTTTTGTTAGCAGTTTGGAGATTTCAGCATTAGACAATAGACATGTATGTTACATTGGACAGTGAAACCATCTAGCAATGGAATACCTCTTAAGTGGAACACTTCTAGCAATGGAACACCTCTTAAGTGGAACACCTCTAGCAATGGAACACCTCTTAAGTGGAACACCTCTAGCAATGGAACACCTCTTAAGTGGAACACCTCTAGCAATGGAACACCTCTTAAGTTGAACACCTCTGTTAGGGGAACACCTCTAGCAATGGATCACCTCTGTTAGTGGAACACTTTTCAGAGTCCCAAGACCAACTGATTGATTATTAAATGAACGTCTATAAGTGGAACACCTCCAAGTGGAACACTATTTAGAGGTTCCAAAGGTGTTCCACTCAGACAGGTTTCACTGCATGTTTATAGATTGTTTCATTTGATATAAAAAATCAAGTCAGATTCAATCCTTATCAAAGCAGTAGATAGAATGTGGATATTGTGAATCTATCAGACATTCATTTACATGTACATTAACATGATATTTTTATAGTGTGAATCAACGAGCAACTACATTCATTATTCACTGGTCCGTATCAAGCGAAGGTAACGGCCGTAACCTTCACATCAACTATAACATACTTTAATTCGATGAAAACGAAAATATCGAAATCGACACTTGCCATCCACCATCTTTGATGTGGAGGTTACGGCCATTTCCTTTGCTTAATACTAACCAGTTATTATTGGTTGAGTAACTATTGGGTTCTTTGCCTGTTATATGATTCCATTTTAATGCAGGAATTTATCATTATTAGTGTTACAGTATTATGGTATAAACATAAATGGGTGCACACTCCTGGGTATTTTTTCAGCATATAAACTAGGTAGTGAAATGTAATGTTATGCCAACATTTTTGTCAGTGACTTAATGTGGACAGTCGGCATATGTAACAAATTGTTACATTTATGTAACCACATATAATAACTTACCAGGTGCTGGCAGCTTGTCATGTCTGTCATGAGTGCTAGTCATTAGTGCAATTGCTAAATCAGTCAAAGTTGGTAGAATAATCTTGTCACTGTGTAAAATAAATAATCTTGATATAGTGTGGAAAAGCTTTGTAGAATAACATTGTCACAGTGTAAAATAACTGTGCTCTGTGTTTATGCCTTTGTCACATTTGCTTCGATTTTCACTACGGCACCCAGGCGACTTAATCGGCTGGGCGGCGGCCGATGGATCGGAGCAAATGTGACCCAGGCATAAATAAATAATCATGATATAGTGGTAAATAGCTTTGAGGAATAAGCATCACAGTGTACAATAACATTGTAAGCCTTGTCACAATTCAGAATAGCGTTACCACATTGGAGAATAATGTTGTCACAGTGTAGAATAACATTGACACCATCTAGAATAACATTGTCACAGTGCAGAACAACCGTGTCACAGTGTAGAATAACATTTTCACAGTGTAGAATAATGTTGTCACAATGTAGAATAACCATGTCACTGTGGAGAACATAATTATGCTTGTCACAGTATATAACAATTTTGTCATAGTGTAAAATATCCTTGTTCCAGTGTAGAACAACTTTGTCGCAATGAACATTGACCTTGTCATAGTGTAGAATAACATTGTAACAATGAAGAATAAAACTGTCACCATGTAATTTTAACTTGTCAAGGTGAAAAATAGTCTTGGCACTGTGTAGAGTAACTTGTATGCATATTGTTTTCATACTTGCTACTTAATTAATATGAAACATTCGATCAAATCCTAAAATGTGAAAAGGTCACTTTACCCAGGTGGGAATCGAACCTACATGTTTGTCAGTGGTGACCTATCCAGATTCCAGAGGCATAATGGCTGAATTGTACTATACCCTCTGTTTTCAAAGTTTACAAGGCCAACTGAGACTACAGGTTGACAGTGAAATCAATTTTGCTTGGTATAATTTACTTGGTATATTTTTGTCTTAATTGCTTCTATTGCTTTATCAGTCAAAGTTTGTCTCAAGAAGCTAAAACACGATAATACTAGCTAAGGCTTGCATGTAATTTTGAAATGATTTATTCACAAATGAGCATAAATAAAGATGATTGAAACAATGTACAATAAATAAGTATACTAAAAATATCGAACTCATATATGTGTTTTTTCAATCACTGTCATCATTGCGCTACGATTCACCATGGGCTTTCAATTAGTTGAAAGCCCATGGATTCGCCGTTTTCTACAGGGCGACTTGTACAACTATTTCACATGTTTCATGCTATGCATTTATATTTCTCAAATTATAAACTTAAATTCGCAAAACAACCATTCTAACATTGTTAAACGTTTGTTTCAATATCGCAGATGCAAGTAGATAGTTACCAGTTTCACCACCAGCTGCAGGTGGCTCGTTCGGGTCAGATAGCATGGCGGGTATAGTAGAAAGTTCCCTTTAACTTAAATTACATGTTTTAGTGGTTCAATTTTCATATAACCCTCATGTATCTAATAGTTATGCAAATTAAAATATGTCCAGTAAAAGAAAATGTTATCTGTCCAATACAAGAAAATATATTTCACTTTTTGTGATTTTGTAACATGGGTTCTATGGGTACCGGTAATCTCCCCAAAAAATTAAATTTTCAAAGTTTGATAAACAATTTTGCGAAACCATATTTCTAGATATACTTTTACATGTAGATTTCAAATAGGACATCACTTTGACTGAATTTTGGATATTTAATGACGTAAATCAAGATTATTTCTACTCGCATCTAGTCTATTTGTCATTTTTATTTTATTAGTCTCCAGGCAATTGAAGGCTAAAAAAGGCAGGTGTCTGGAGTATATTACTGGTATCGAATTGGTGAAGTAAATTCCGTGATATTGATGATAGACTATTTTCTCTGTCATAGATGGCGCTAAAATCCTGTCATTCGTTTTCCTGCTTTCCGCATTGCCCGCTAGTAAGACGATAGGAAAAGTAATTTGTTTGCAAAATGGTGGCAATTGTTCGTAAACAGATCGTACATGCCATGATTGTTCGGGTAAGATTTCGTGAATTCAACCATGCCGTCGAGACTACAGTTTGATCTTCCAGCTGGTTGCTTTTCCTAAGATATTTTACAAAGTGGGTCGTAGCCAACATTATACATGTATGTCATTTCAGTACTTACGTCTCATTCAAATACTTTCCCACCATAAAAGACCAAACTATGGGCATACATGTAGGTCAATGTATGGCGTGCAGGCGCAACATCGCTGCGATGTCTGTAAAACCACCAACCCATTATGCAATGTAGATTCTGTGTGCCAAACCAATATCCATCCTAATAAAATAATATAAAATAAAATGTTTCCCTATACACATTGTGCTTTGCCCAGTTGTATTAAACCTTGTTGTGAATGATTTTCTGGAAACTACAAATAGGACGACATCACGGTCTCCGATACTACCCAACGTAAATCGTTCCGGACTTGTTTTTCATAACCATTTGGACTTGATTTATGGAAAAAAGTAGAGGTAGGTTTGTAAATTTGGTTATGAAATTGCTTTCACTTGACTTTATGTAAATATGATACAATTAGATAACTTACCATACTACATACTCTATCTTCAGGCACCCGCAAACGCCTTTTTTGTACGAACCGTTTGCTATAGTCTTGTTATTTCGGGATGCGAGCGATTCTGCCAGTGTTTTTACCTATTTTGCCTTATAATCACCAGTCTGCCTTGTATCCAATGAATACACCGATTCATAATGAAAGTAGCCACATTGTGAGTGAAAATCATGATTTATAATGGTTTAAATGAGTAGCAATTGTCGAAATAATATTTTTTAGATTTAACCATTTGGACGTGACCTAAATATTCCAGTTAATGATGTTGACTTGTTATTGGAACGTTTCTGACTTGTGGTATTGGAACGTTTCTGACTTGTAGAACACAATTAACCATTTTTAAGTGTGGAACAGCTCCATAAACTTAATTGATTTCCAACAAATCATCAGAGTGGATGAGGACAGTGAAAGAAGTTGTCTGAGTGATACTATCAAAATGATCATCATTAATTAAACGTATTAAGAGATACTTGTCAAGGTTGAATTAGGGAATCATTACAGATACACGTTCTTTACTTGGTGCTTTCAAGGGGCAAGAATTCATGTAGAGAAAAAAGTTGATTTTTTACTTTTTCTTGTGTTTTGCCTCTTCGCTTTTTTAAAGACTTCACTCGTCGCTATTTTTAATTTGCCTATGAAAAATAATTTGATTCATTATTATTTGTTATAATTTCATAATTTGCCTCACAGCATGCAGGCTTTTGCCCATCTTTTTAATTTGACACATGGCCTTGAACGGTACTAACGTTTTTAGCTATAGCGAGTTTAATTACATCATCGGATGTTCTTTACTTAATCGCTCATCTGTTAGCATTGGTCCCCGGCATTGCTCCAGTACAAATTCAGTCTTTTCAATTTATTTAGACCTTTGAATTACGTTAAAATAGTGGTGTGTGAGCCCTGGTCGACACAGCTTTGAGCCTAATTTATCACACATCCGGAATACATAATCCTGTGTTTTGTATGCCTTTATCACGAAAATGGACGTCAAGCCTGAATAAATCGGAGGGATGGTCCCTCTTGAAGTGTTCAAAGAATATATTTTTATCTGCACTTTTAAAAGTGCATTCGTGGCACGGTTTCTTGGAACTGAAATTATAAAATGTGTGAATATTTAGTACAAAAACTCCTCTAAAACATAATCATACCAAGTGCAAGTTTTCCAGAAGCATAGACAATTCATCAAGCAACGGAACGTATAAATACCATTACAAGACAATTCCCAATCGTTATGTTTATCACGTTGTGTACAATTCGCAGTCGTTCACCTAGTGATTATAAGACAAGTCCGTGTCAGAATAAGGACCATTCGCCGTCGTTAACTCTACTTTTAACATTACGGTCATTTATGGAAATTTGAAGGTACAGATAGTTAAAATATTAACACGATCTTTAATGCAGTGAATATCGTTCCACGTTATAAAATGATTTTTTGGTTTAAACATAGTTAAATGACACTAATGCAGATTTAAAGCATATTTCTGGCATTTTTGTTATTTAAAGCCGATAAATATGTACTATGATGGCACGATCGCCAAAATAGATATGTGGGTATGAAAAAGAATGTTTTAGGTAGAAGTTAGTGTATGTATTTTTCTAAACGATTGAATTATATTACCTTTTTCGAGCCATTCTGATGAATGTCTCATCTCATTCTCCTACGAAATGAGTCCAAATGGTTATGAAAAACAAGTCCGGAACGATCTACGTTGGGTATTATCGGAGACCGTGGACATGATAGCAACACGATAGCCTGCATTTTAAATTTGTAGCATACACTAAGATGCAATAACACACGCTTCAACACCAGATGACACATTACAGCACAACAGTCTAAACAACAACATCAAATTGTACACTACAACACAATAGCATAGTGCACTACAACATCATAGGTACACTAACTTGATCAGAAGTGCTTATACAGGGTGGTCAAAAAAATGGAAACCCTGCATTTTCCTAATATCTTTGTCATTTTAAGAAATTACTCCCTGATATTTCAAACATTAGTACATCATTCAATTTACTACCACCCTACCAATTTTCATGACCATCAGACTTATAGTCACAATTTTACAGCACTTTGAATAACATGCTTCAAGTTTGGCCATCATCGCGCTGTAGGCAAACTAAACCTGCACAGTTGTCAATGGGCCGAATGCATTCCTCAGCAGGTATGGCCTGAATGATACAGATGATCTCACTTTTGAGGTTTGTGATTGTCCTGAGGTCATTCTCATACATTTTTTCCTTGCCATATCCCCACAGGTAGGGACATTTTGGACGATGAGTACAGGTGGCCCGACAGCGCAATAGTGGCCACTAGGGCATGTTCTGTAAAGTGATGTAACATTGTGACTATCAATCTGATGGTCATGAAATAAAGTGAGCTGGTAGGAAATTGAATGGTGTACAAATGTGCAAAATATCAGGGAGTTATTTCTCAAAATGACAAATATATGAGGAAAATGGTGTAAGGGTTTCCATTTTTTGACCACCCTGTACTTTACATTTAACACTGGATTAAGATACAACTGAATTTACAAACCTTTGTAATTCTTTGGGGCATATCTAAGGTGTTCTTTTAGCATGGACTTGGAGTCATCACATACTCTGCTGATCGGATTCGATCTACATAGTCCAAATACTACTATAGACCAACAGCAATGCAATACCTCGCAAGCTTGGGCTATATTTTATTTATTTATTTTTTATTTGCGAATTAAACATACAATATATTAAAATACATTACAATATATCAATACACATACATAGTCTATTCAAATTTGTTTTAAAAAGATCTCTAAGCTATTTTTTAGAACAACATTTTTTCACTCTTCATCATATCTAAATTGTTAATGTATAATTTCAGTCGGTTGATTACAGTGTTTTCAAAATTTATACTTTTGTATCTGTCCATATTATTTGAGTTCTTAACCCAATTTGAATAAATTGTATATCATGCATATCCCACTATTGTGAGAATTACATTTCTTGACTGAGAGACATTACCTTCCAACATATAGAACCCTAAAATAAAATGTTTCCATTTGATATCACATCTTAAGATATTTCTAATTTTTTCCCAAATATTTTGTACAATCTTACAGTCCAGTAATAAATGTTTTGGAGTTTGTATCACTCTACATTCACTACAATACTGGTTAATGTCTTTATTCCATTTGTATATAGTATTCCCACATGCTAAAATATTATGGAAAAGCTTAAAATTGAATTCTGCATGTTTTTTATATATCATATTTTTTATTTTTGAATCATATACTTTCCCATAGAACGTTTTACATCTTGGTATGCTGCAAATTGTTGCCCAATGTCTTTCCATAATGCTTCTTTCATGTTTACTTTCAAGTAAAATATTATATAATCGTTTAGCATTGATGAGCTGTATATGTATCCATTCACCATCTTTCATAAGGTAATTGTTTTTTGCTTTTATATTTGTATATTTTTCTGTTTTTCTATCCAAATTTTGAGTGAGTTTATTTAAATAACCTTTTATTCGTATATATTCGATCATCCAATTGTGTTTCTTTATCAATTTATTCAGAATATACTGCTCATCAATAAAAACTCCATCTTTAAAAAAATCCTTTATATATAGATAAACCCACTTTTTATCCAATTATGGCTGTAAAAAACGTTTCCCTTGTTGCTCACTAATTTTCATTTAGCCAAAAGATTTCACCAAAAAGATTTTGTTTGTTTAATTTGTCAATTTTACATCTATTAAATGCACTAAAAATATCCTTATAGAATTTAGGCATATTTATCTTTTAAGCTTGGGCTATATGATGACAGACCTCAGGCATGTATTCAATGATAGGGACATAATTGCTAAGTATATGTATGTTATAAAGTATTTGAGCATTTGACATTAATGAAAATTATACACATAGCCAGCCAAGAATGGTTCTAGTTGTTATACCAACGTTACTCTGCTCTTGCCACCTTAATTCACATTACAGTAGTATTATGTCATTGTATTGCATATTGCAGGACACAGCAAAAAATGTGAATCAAACCACTGAATCCTGGAGTCAGGATTCATACAGGATTCATATGCACATATGAATCCTGTATGAATCCTGCCTCCAGGATTCATACAGGATTCGCTGTTTAAATAGTTTACAAATGAATCCTGCCTTCAGGAATCATACAGGATTCATATGCAATATAGTTTACAAATGAATCCAGCCTTCAGGATTCGTACAGGATTCATATAGAAGGTAGTTTGCAAATGAATCCTGCCTTCAGGAATCATACAGGATTCATATGCAATATAGTTTACAAATGAATCCAGCCTTCGGGATTCGTACAGGATTCATATAGAAGGTAGTTTGCAAATGAATCCTGCCTTCAGGAATCATACAGGATTCATATGCAATATAGTTTACAAATGAATCCAGCCTTCAGGATTCGTACAGGATTCATATAGAAGGTAGTTTGCAAATGAATCCTGCCTTCAGGAATCATACAGGATTCATATGCAATATAGTTTACAAATGAATCCAGCCTTCAGGATTCGTACAGGATTCATATAGAAGGTAGTTTGCAAATGAATCCTGCCTTCAGGAATCATACAGGATTCATATGCAATATAGTTTACAAATGAATCCAGCCTCCAGGAATCATACAAGATTCATATGCAATATAGTTTACAAATGAATCCTGCCTTCCTGAAGGCAGGATTCATTTGCAAACTACCTTCTATATGAATCCTTACATCGTACGTATCTGGATTTCGTTCATAATTGATTAATCTGTTAATGCGTTCCTCTAAGTAAATGAAACAATCATCACATCGTGTTTATAAGTGTAATTCAAGGGCGTATAATCTAACATGTCTAATGCTACTCATTTCATGGTATTACTTTCCGATCATTTGATAAAATAGAATACAATCAACATGTGGAAATCACGGATGACGGGAAAAACAATATTGTATAAATAGAATATATTTTAATAAGAGATTCGTAATGTAAGAGATTCGATATTTAACAGATATTTAGAATGAATTGCGACATTATATTCCAAATTCATGAATAAACTGTACGTATCTGGATTTCGTTCATAATTGTTTAATGGTTCCTCATAGATAGTAATAAAGTCATCACATCGTGTTCATTAGTGTTAATTCGAGGTTGGATAATGTTTTTATAATATGATGTTATAATTTTACATTTTATTTGTGTGTCTGAGTGAGGCTAAATTGAAAGTAAAACCTGTATAATCAGACGGGCAAATCACGATGAGGACAAATAATTATTTAAATTAGTAAGATAAGTCTGTACATGTAGATTGTTCGTTGAAGTTGGACCGTCGGTGACTTTTATTCCTAGATTTCGTATCCCTCTCAAACAAATAAGTCAAAGCCAAATATAGTTGAACTGTTTTCGGGATTATTATTCATTTGTTGTAATACAGATTGACTTATAGACTGATATTGTAATGGGTTGTGCTTGGGATTCACAGAATTATTCTATGATAGTCTCAGGATATATTGAAATGCGGATGTTTACATTAAAGATCTTGCTTTCAAACAAAAATATTGAAGTACTAAGATCGGATATTAGCGTACCCCAGTGGAAAAGAATCAAAAGATATTCCAATTTAACGCACTGCACAATAATTTGTCATTTTGGAAATTCGTCAATATGACCTTACCATTTTGATCTTAATAATTTAAAATTTAAACAAGCGCTACCCCCCCCCCCCAGAACTAGCCTTCCCGGTAAAGCCAATACGACAGATATCTAAGGAAAGTTTCATTTTTATTCTTGATTTCTCTGACTCGGAATAGTTGAAATGATAAACATAAATTGCAATTATTATTACTTTGCTCTTTCATTTTGCTCAGTCATGATCAACGCCTTCCTTAAATTTTCTGTCAGATCATCGATCCCAGACTTCAGCAAATATTCCAATCATATTTTGCGTTTTATCGTCTTTCCCAAAAGCTATACGAATATGGTACTACAACTACTTAATGACAGTGGTTTATCGTTATTTTTGCAAATATGGATGTTTACACTGCTTGAATCTTATTCTAGGAAGTTTTATAGAGACGGGACTTCCTTTTCACAATGCAATTATATCTGTTTTGTAGGTTCCCGTGGGTAAGATACACACAAGAACAATACGGCCCATCCAAAAGGGACAGATCCGTCAGTGGCGTTCTTCAAATTATAGCCCGTGGAGATATAGTTTATGAATCTTGCCTCAAGTGACGTGTTAAATCCCATATTGGGTTTGAGAAAGGGCCCGTATACACAGCCCGATACACAGTTGCTCGATACAAGTGCAAACTATAAAATAACCATAATATAACAATTATAGATAAATGTTTGGCATGCATTGTTTCTGTTTAATTGTTAAATTATTTGATAACTTATAATAAGCAGATAAGTTGCTTTTCAGGTATTAAGCGGCGATTAAGGACTGAAAACCAGCGTCACACATTTCTTCGGATATTCCTCCATAAGCAGATATACCTGTTTGCATGTTTTAATTTTGATTTGATTTGATTGTTTGAATTAGATAAAGTCTTTAAAATGTTACTAGTGTTTGGGGGGGGGCTGAGATTTCATGTAGGAATTAAAATTAGAATAAGATTTAAATACGATCTGTTTTGTTTGCATCGTTGTATAACGTTGATAAAACACAAAGGGCAGCATTGGAATTACAAAATTGTGCGATTCCCTACCTCCCAAAATTATTCAAAATTATATTTCTGTCATTCTGATTTCCGTGTCGGGACATTCTGATCTATTAGAGTCTCACTTTATCTAACGCTAAATTGGTATTCCAAAGGATTGTACTTGCCCGGGAGTACTTGCTGTATATCACGTCGGGAGATTAAACCTCCTGGATTAAACCAGTGAATGTTCCGATCGTCGTAACATTCGATACACCGAGAGATTTCCCAGATTCATACATGCATACTGTATATTCAGCAGGAATTTTACATACTTTATCATTCCCTTCTTAATATATCGTATAATATTTGTATTCTGTTTCACAGATTCCCCTTGAAATACAAGGTAGACTAGATGCGAGTAGAAATAATTTTGATTTACGTCATTAAATATTCAAAATTCAGTCAAAGTGATGTCATAATTTGAAATCTACATGAAAAAGTACATCTAAAAATACGGTTTCGAAAATTGTTTATCAAATTTGAAAATTACGACAACACGGGCAATATATGGCAGGTTAAATGAGTCGTCAAGATTATAACACGCCGGTCTTTATGTTACAGTTGATGAAAGTACAATGTCAAAATCTCATGATGATTTCTTCCGACCTGTGTTTACTGACAAGAGAGGGGTGCGCAGTTGTTGAAGCGAGTATAAACTAAGAAAAATCCAAAGTCCGATAATTAATTAATTGGCATGGATCTGTTTTCGTTATTGTTACTTGTTCTATCTAGACGGTTTTATCTGCATCGATATGGCTGAT